AAACTTTATATTACAAAACAATAATAAAGGCTTCATTTTCAATAAAAGTAATGAATTTGAGGTTATTAATCAGTTTGACATTTTGGGGGTACCAATACTTAAAAACTAAATGTTACCAAAAATCGTTTAAGAATGAGCTTCATTCTTCAACGATTTTGCGTGCGAGAATATGACATTCTTACATAAAAATCGAGAAATGATATTTTATCAACGTGTTTTTAAATAAACATATGGGCGGTACAAATATTACTTAAATTGTAAAAAAGAACAATCAGTTTTGTGACATTTTCAAATTCAAAGTCAAAGGCTATCTAACTAACATGAAATTAAATAAAATATTGGAAATTTGATAGAAATTACTAATATTTAATCGACGATCGATTTAAAATGGAGTAAACTACATTTTACCAATTTATATAAATTATTTAGATTAGTTAAGTTATTTATTGCAAGGTGATCGGCACCGATCGATGATTAAATTTTAAACATTTGTAGACGCTAAAGAACCATCTGGTGGCGCTCGATAGCATTATTGTCAACAATACATTTAAAGCATACAAACTGCACATCATTTTTAAATAAATTATTAGTTTTTTGACGAAAACTCGACAAATTTTGTTAACTTTTTTTCGCAAACTTCAATTTAAATTCTGCTTGCGCAGAACTTGTCTATATAATGTCATTATAAACTCATATAAATTTGATGTGGGTCCCATGTCTAATAACTGAGATATGGGTGTGCCCAAAATCCACCAGCCACACACGGTGGTCAAAACTAAAGTATAGGACGAACAAAAATGCCAACCAAAACTGATAGCATAATCTGATTATAGACTCTTTTGGTAACACAAAAATGTATTTATCAAAATCCCATCTGATCCTCCAAGTTTTGCATATTTCTTAGTATTTTAAAATTGTTTATGCCATTTCGATAAAATACTCTAGTACCATTATCAAATGTTTTTAATTTGGCAGATACATGACTGAAATATGGATAAATTACATTATAAATACAAAATAATGTAAAATACAGTTTGCAATATCTTATTTATTGTTTTAAGGTATCTAATACAAAACTAATAAATAACTAAAGATTCTTTGAAGCAAAATCGATTACTGCTTGCCTTAAATTTTCAGTAAAACTTTTTCTTGGGTTTTACCTGAAATTGTTTTTAAAATGGAAACAGTTTTTTTAATTCTTTAGTCTCTGTACAAACATGCTTCTTACATCTAGCGATATCCCCTAGAAAGGAAGAGCATATCAAAACTTTAGTTCGTTCGTCCGTCCTCTTCCCTTAATAATTTTGTATGCCCTTTATATCTTGCCATTTTGCAGATAAAGCACATACATTCTTGGCTGCCGCGAAATTCTCTAGCAATTTCTAAATTTTGAAAATTTGGCAATTGAGGCTATGCAAAAATACCGTTTTTACCATATTGAAGTAGGTAATTCTGAATCACTTAAGTTAAAGTGTTCGTTTGAAAAAGTCTGCAGTAATTTTTATAATTTCTCAGAAACCCTAAACTCTGAATTTTTCGATAACCAAAAACAATTTTGTCTCCACAGCCAGCACATACCTTCTTTCGATTTTCTTCATGGCTTAACTTGAATTTCGGTTTAATTTTCATTTTAAAATACTACTTTTAACTTTATAAAGTATACATTAAATAAACAACTAAAGCAAAATGTCACTTGCGTTTTAACGTATAGCAATTTTTTTCATAACCACCTTAATTATTGTTTTACAAAATTTGCAAGTTGTAATTATTTCATAGACAAACTTCCAGTATTTTTTGTTATGTTTTGTTTTGAGTGGTAAAAAATAATAGCTGACTCAATAAATTAATACTGGGGAGTAAAGTAATTTAAATGATACAAAGTTTATTAATTTGCTTAATTTTATTAAAATTGTACAGGTAGTTTTAGTACAATAATTGCAAAATAATATATAGAAATAGAAAAACAAAAAAGTTTGCAAAACTTTAAAATAGGATCAGCTGGGATTTTGATAAATACATGTTAGTGTTACCAAAAGGGTCTATAATCAAAATATGCCATCAGTTTTGGTTGGCATTTTTGTTCGTCCTATACTTAAGTTTTGACCACCGTGTATAATACATCTGAAATTCCGTAAAAAGGTCTCTTACTGCATATGACATATTATGTTTATTTTAAAATTTTAACTGATATGATACAATTACAAAAATTTACGGGTAAACCCTTTGTACATATTTTACATTAGCATATGTATGAACGCGAAATCCGTAATTTCCTGAATTGATTGTTTTTACTAATCATTTTAATTCGCAAATTTGAATATCGCTTTAAATTAATAATTAATAAATTATTCAATGCCATATATGAATATAAGGTTTATAATATTTGACGTCATCTTCAAAAATGCCAAACCATTCAAAAAACGTTTTTGTTGCCATGTTGCCGTTCCTACTTTACAGCGTTGTCAACCCAGTGGGAAAAATAATATTTCTACAATGTTACTGAACGTTACATTTGTTAGATGTAATGTTACAAAAATCCTTGTGGCAATGTTGCAGGAACATTGCAACAAAGCCTTATGTCCCGGCTCAGGAACATTACATTTACAAATAAAATGTTGCTTAAATGTATTAATTGCAATGTTATAACATTGCAATTAATACATTTAAGCAACATTTTTATTTGTAAATGTAATGTTCCTGAGCCGGGACATATGTTATAACATTGCAATTAATACATTTAAGCAACATTTTATTTGTAAATGTAATGTTCCTGAGTCGGACATAAGGCTTTGTTGCAATGTTCCTGCAACATTGCCACAAGGATTTTTGTAACATTACATCTAGTATACTAAATGTTTTTTTTTGTTAATGTAAGGTTCCTGCAACATTACATTTGTTAGGTGTAACAAAAAACCTTGTTGCAATGTTGCAGGAACATTGCAACAAAGCCTTATGGTTCAGAAACATTACATTTACAAATAAAATGTTGCTTAAATGTATTAATTGCAATGTTACTAAATGTTATTTTTGTTAATGAAAGGTTCCTGCAACATTACAGGAACATTGCAATTTAATTAATATGAATTATTATTATAATAATTAAATAAATTATTTATCCGTAAGCTATAGGCCTATTATATATAAATAACAGACTGTTTCGACCTGTTTGGTCTCATCAGTGTCGGGCAGTCGGTGACGGGAGACACGCATCAAGCTCGGCAATGTTCACTTATAAAGATATAAATGACCAAGACAGCGGCGAGATGCATCGGCAAGTCAGTCTGCAAACAACATTGCAAAAATTATCTTAATGCAATATTTCGGATGAAACATAGTCCAAAACTAAAGTTATAATTATAAATGTACAATACGTAATATTATAGTTACAATGTTCCAAAAATCTTGCAAATTAAATGTTTATATTGTTTATATAAAGCAACATTTCAAAAATCATCTTAATGTAATATTTCGGATGAAACATTGCCCAAAACTTATCAATGTAATATTATAATTGCAATGTTTCAAAAATCTTGCAAATTAAATGTTTATATTGTTTATATAAAGTAACATTGCAAAAATCATCTTAATGTAATATTTCGAATGAAACATTGCCCAAAACTTATCAATGTAATATTATAATTGCAATGTTTCAAAAATATTCCCAAACATTTCAAAATAAATGTTTCTATTGTATATTTAAAGTAAAGTTGCAAACATTTTTCATTTGAAACTTGTGTTAATATTTCAATTGAAACATTGAAAAAAAGTCTGCAATATTATAATTGTAATGTTTAAAAACTTTTATGCAACATTTTATACTAAATTTTACAAATATAACATTGTAAAAACTTTCCATGTGAATCTTTAAATAATGTTTGAAATTTAAGGTTGTTGGAAATTATTATTATTATGCAATATTTCAAATGTAACATTTCATTTATGTTAATGCAAGTAGCACAGGAAATATTTTATTTGTAAAGTCGGCGAACATTGCAGCAATACAGGGTGTTATGTAATTAATGTTATATATTAAAATACTGAATACCTTTTGACATAAGGAAATAAAGGAAAAATATTTAAAAAACATTTTTCCAAAGAGAAAGAAAAAATATGCATTAGAAGTTTTTTATATTTTTTGTGATACGCCACTGGTTACACACTTAGTTTATCTCTGCACACTTGTATTTTGTGAGTACATAGATACCAACCAACAAAGTAGCTATGCGTTGCCAGATGTAAAAAATTGTTACTAAAAATTTTTCTTGCAAAAAATAAATAAAAACTCAATAAATACAAAAGTTTTATGCCCTTAAAGCTCTAATACCCTTCTGTATTTATTTACTGATCCAGCTATTAGCTTAAGCAATGATTAGAAAATTTAGTACCTTTGAAATTTGAAATCCATAACCACAAAATTAATTTTTTCATCAGTTTTTTTCTCTGTTTACTCAGATGAAATTGGAACCAGTTTCACAGGTTAAACTTTAAACATTTAATTTGTGTAAATAAATCCAAAAGCACTTCCCTTAGTTAAGATATTTACAATTTGAACACATAACCTAAAATTTAAAAGAAATGCATTAGATTCTGTCATAAAAGTTGGCAGATTTTGTTTGAATTTACAATTTGCATTGTTAATTTTGTCATTTTTGTAATTAAGCTAAATTTAAACAATGTTTGTCAACTTTTTTGAGAGATTTTGGAAATACTATTGTTACCAACCATAACATAATAAATCCACCAGATTAACCCAAAGTTCCTAGTCTATCAGTGGCGTACTTTTTGGTAGGATAAAGGTTATTTATAAATTATTTTTAGACTTGGGAATTTAGAAAAAAAAAGTTTCAGGTGCTTTTTTATGGACCTTAAGGAACAACCCATTTTAATATATAACATTAATTACATAACACCCTGTATTTTGTAAGGTTTCTTTCCCAGTGGTAAATTTCTGAAAACCTGTAAAATAACGAAAATTGATTTCTTTGAATTTTTTTTTCCAGGACTACGGCGGAACACTGGTATGGACCGGAAGGGTGCAAAGCTACGTTTTGGCGTCCTTCTATTGGGCGTACATCGTTTCGCAGGTGGTCGGCGGCGTTGCCACGCAGAAATTGGGCACGAAAAAGGTGTTCGGTTACGCGCAGCTGGCAACTGCGCTTTGCAGCTTGTGCATCCCGATTGCGGCCGAGACGCATTTCATGTTCGTGATAGCGCTCAGGTGCGTGCAAGGATTCGCATCGGTAAGTAAAAAAACGCAGTTAAGTGACATTGTAGGATGGATGTGTAAACATCTTGTCTGGTACAATTTTAGTGTGGGAAATAAGAAATTTTTTGTAGATTTTGAAAATTTTGGGATATTTTGAAAAACTTAAAAAACTTTAAAATATTTTGGAAATTTTGAAAATTTTAAATGTAAATTTTAAAATTTTTGAAATTTTTAAGATATTTAAAAATTTTCAAAATCCTCAATATTAAAAAAATTGGAAATCTCACAGATCTTAAAATTTTTGTAAATCTTCGAAATTTTAAACTTTTTTAAAATTTTTAAAAAATTTAAAAAATGTTTAAAATTTTGGAATTTTGAAAACATTAAAAATTTTAGAAATCTTCAAAATTTAAAGTTTTTGGAAATTTTAAAGTTATAAAAAAAATTTCTCACGTTTTCTAAAAAAAAATTAAAATCTTAAAAATTTTGAAATTTTGAAAATCTTTAAAATTTAAAATTCAAAACCTTTGTAAATTTTAAAATTTATGGAACATATAAAAATTTTTAAGAAATTTGAAAATTTGTAGAAAAAAAAGTTTTTGGAAATTTTTAAAATTTAAAAAAAAATGAATTCTTAAAAAATTTGGAATTTTGAAAATTTTAAAAATTTAGGAAATTTTAATTTCAAAAAAATTTAATTTTTGGAAAAACGGCACGCTGCATTCTCTCCATTTAAATATTTAACCATATATTTAAATAACATTTTAAAGTTTAAATTAAATTATTTTGACAAAAAATCATTGAGGTCATTTTTTAATTATACAATTTTGTTTAAGCCATATACACTAGGGTGATTTGTTTTAATTATTTATTTTTTATCCATCAGTCACATTTTTAATAAAAAAAAACAGTATTATATGCGTTTTATAGCAAAAACGGTTAAAGTTTCAGTTAAAAAGTAAAAAAGATTTTATAGAAAATTGAATTACCTATGAAAAAGATTGTAAGCATTACTCCAACAAAATGTAACTGTCAAATTTCTATAAAAACTGTCAAATTTATTAAATTCTTTATATCTTTTAAACTATGAATTTTATTGCACTAATGAATAAAACTATTTTTGTACGAAATTAAAGTTCCTATAAAAGTATATTATGTATCAAGTTTGATAAACGCCATTTTATACACGAATTTAATTTAGGTACGAGCGAGCTTGCGAGCGAGTGCTTAAATTAATGAGTGTATAGAAAAGTTTATAAACGAGGTGCATACTATACTTCTTCTACGACAAATACTTTGTGTAGAGCGCAAATACTTTGTGTAGAGCGCCATCTATGAAACAATAGGGGAATCTGTGTGTCACCGTCAAATGTCACATTTTTATTATTTTATAAAAACACAGATTATAAAGGTTATAAATCGAAATGTATTTCTTAAAAATTGACAGTTTTTCACAGTGAAAGTAAAGAAAATGTTTTATGAGGACCCGAATTTAAGTTTTAGTTTACTGCCGGCGAAATTAAATGTTCATATAAACTTTTCAAATATTGGCGATAAGAAACTATTTAATACTTTTGTATTTTTGTATTGAGATAATAAAATAATTGTCACATTTAGTATTATTTTACAAGAAAGGCAATTTGTTTTAACGATTGTATGACATTTGACAACTGTCAACTAACTTAAAACTAACTTCAGCCCGTGACTAAAAATCTGTTGATAACTTCAGCCCGTGACTAAAGCGCCTTAAAGCCACAACTTGTCAATGTGTATTTAAAAGGTCACTTAGTGTCATGGAAACATGTACGATAATGGTCGTTTTAAAGGTGGGAGTAGAAAAAAACATTTTTGTAGGATATTAAATTTCCCATAAAAGTATTTTTACTTTTTTTCTGTACCTTTAACCGTTGTGCCGTAAAACAACATAGGACTAATTAGTTTATCAATATTTTACAGTAAAATTTATTAAATGCTTTATATCTTTTAAACTATGCATTTTATTGGATTAATGCATAAAACAATTTTTGTAGGAAATTAAATTTACTATAAAAATGTTTTTTACTTTTTTTCTGTACCTTTAACCGCTATGCCGTAAAACAACATTTTATTGCATTAATTAATTATTATGGATGTTGCAGAACACGCGCACATATTTTCCGCGAGACTTTGTTAAATTGCGATGCCACCAGCAATAATTTTAGATTTTATTGTTTTTAAGGGTTTAACATGGCCTGCGATGTACGCGTTGGTCGGACACTGGATACCGGTACCAGAACGAAGCAGATTCATGTCGAGTTTTCAAGGTACACTTACAACAACAAAATAGTTATTTATGTCATTAGGTTAAGAAGTAAGGCTTTTTGTGCTAAGCTCAAGGTACAATTGAGCGAAGCACAAAAAGGCACTTCTTGGCCGAATGGCATACAACATTTTATCTTCAAAGCACTTTATATAGGTCAATTTAATTCAACATCATAGCGGCCTAACCTCACTTTTTTAGAATTTCATTTATTTATTAGCTAAAGATTACATTAAATGTACAATAATTATAATTTTTATAATTATTGCTTTTAGAAGCAGTAATAGTTTGACAATACCTAGCAACATGATTTAAGTAGAAGTGGATTTTTGCTATTACATTGAATTCAATTAATTGTTTAATAAATAGGTGGGTATCTAATTTCAATTTGTTTTGATTTTTATTTAAAAAATAGGTAGTTTGGGATGTTTAAGCTATGTTTAACATTTAATTTCACTGAAAACTTAAAGCAAATTAAAACTTAAAGATAATTTAAATCGTAGAAAAAGAATCGTGCGTTTTCTTGGTTGCCTAACCTCACTTTTTGTTTTATTATTCATATTTAATTTTACAATAATTTAATGAAAAATATTAAACATTAACAGTAAAAGAAACAAATTAGTGCTTGTTATAAATAAATTAAACCAGTTTGGTACGTTAATTTCTTAGAAAAGGATTAATTTGTCAAAACAATACCCCTAGCGAGAAAAAATCGAACTAATTACTTGCCTCATAAAAATTTGTATCGGCTTAGGCCATAACAAGGTATTTCTTTATCGAATGTTGACAACAATAAGGTTTAAATTATAGACCGCGTGGAGATAAAATCTATTTTTTTTCGTGATTTTTTCTTAGGATTCAGCATCGGAATCGGCATCACGTACCCTCTGGCGGGATTCCTGATCGCCCACCTGGGCTGGCGTTCCGTGTTCTACACCACCGGCTCCATCGGCGTGGCGTGGTGCTTGATTTGGTACTTGCTCGCGTTCGACAGCCCGGAAACTCACCCGAGGATCTCGCTGAGAGAGCAGCAGTACATAAAGGAGAACACTGTCAACACTTACGCGGCCGCTCGCACCCAGTCCGTTCCGTGGAAATCGATTTTGACCTCGATGCCGGCCTGGTCGATTGGAATCACCACTTTCGGAAGGATTTGGGTGCACTACGTTTTCATCATCCCAGGGCCGACGTACATGAAGAGCATACTCGGATTTAGCATCGAAAAGGTAAACATTTTATATTTATAATTTCCACAAAAATAAAACAACAGAACTGCGTTGTAAGTTGGCGAGGCTCGACCCAAGTAGCACAAACGGTTAAATAACTAGTATTATAAGTAAATTAACCGAAATCTAAGTTAAATGACGTTTTTTTAACTTGGTTTTTTAACCAATTAGTTGAATTATCCAATTAGTTTTTTTTACGGTTATTATAAACTAAAAAAAAACCTTTAAATTAACCAACTAGTTGCTATTACTTAAGAGTTAATTTTAAAGTTATTTTTTACTATAATTTAATTTTAAAACTAACTGATGAGTGAAACAATACTTCCAAGTTAAATAAATGGTTAATTTTTAGTTAATTGTAACTTTTAAAATAACCTTAATTTACCTTAGTTAATAAGTAGGTTATTTTAGAAGTTATATAACGTTATATTAACTTTAAATTTTAACCAATAAAACTGGTAAAGAGTAGTTAATTTTTTTGTTATATTTTGGTTCATTTTAACTATAAATTGAACCTTTAGGTATGTTAACCACAGTTTTGGTTAATTTGACTATATTTTTTAACCAACAAGTTGCATATTACCAAATGTATTTTAACTAAATGGTAAATTAACGTTAATCAACCAACTCGTTAAAAAAGTGATGGTTTTGCAGTTTTCATTGTTACCTACATAGAAAAATATGTACTATGTTAGGAATACTTGACATGTTAGGAACTTAAATAGGTACCAGAAATAAAGCCTCTTTATAAATAAACTTTGAACGCCACACGATTGTCTATGTAGTACACACTGCAACGTTCGGCGGGAATTTATTTTAGGTTAGTTAATTTGAAAATAACAAGTTAGTTTAACTTAACTAAATTTTGGTAATTTTTAACTATAATGTGTTAAATGTAACCAAATTGAAACCAAAACCAAAGAGTTATAAATTACTGATGGGTAAATAAAGTAGTAGGAAATAACTAAATGGTTTAAATAAACTTGCAGGTTAATTTATATTGGTTAAATAACCAATTAGTAAAAGCGTCCTATAATCGCCATATTGCTTGCTGTTCATTTTACAAAAGGAAATGCCATTAATTTTTATTTTTGATTTTTGTTTCAAAAATAAGGTAATTTAAATAAACCAATAATAAAAAATAGTATTATTTTATGTTTGAAAGTATTTTAAATCAATTTTAAGTAAAATAAAAAATTAATAAGCAAAAAAAATATTTTTTTTAAATTTTTATTTTCTTTATTTCTTATTCTTTTTTGAGCGCGTTTAAAATATAAAAGTATTATGAGCCATTTCATCAGAAAAAAAATGCCCCATTGGTTTTTCTCCTAGAACTACCTCTTTTAAATATTAAAATGAAGATATTAATATTCAGGGGAGACATTTTATTTAAAATCTTAAGACTTGGTAAATTATAATTATATTAAGTTAAAATAAACTTAAAATGGTTGGTTTTTCACTTTAGTTTAAGTTGACTAAAGAGTTAAAAAGCAGTCAAAAAGGGTAAAATTAACCAAAAATTACCAAATATTAACTTTTTTTAACCGACAGGTATATTATCCAAGAAGTTAAATTTACTTAACATAACGTTAAATTAACCATGATTTTTATTCCCCACGTATTACAAAATAACGTTAATTTAAGGTTAATTTAACTTTATAGTACAACAGGGGCGGCTAGTGCATAAGGGCTGCAGAGCTGCAGAACTCCCAAAATTTTCTTATTACTTGACTAATTTTTTAATTATTTAATATTTAAGTGCGACAGTGTATGAATATTTCAAACGCATGGCTGCATAAAAAGTTTGTATTATAAACATTCGCCGTACTTGGCCACTACAGTCATCCAAACGACCGGTAAAGGTCTCTAACGCTTAACGCTTACAATACAACAAAGCTGGGCCACTTTCGAGTTCTGGCTCCCATTTCAATACCGTAATTTTGCTCCGCGCCGCTCTTGGCCCTAGGTTAAGATAGTGAAATTTAAGCCAAATCGGAGCTGCACCAACATACAGTTCCTACTTCCCGGTCGTTTGTTTTTCGCTTCGCGTTCACGTTTGTTATTTTAACTAGAAGACTGTTAATTCGGTGTATTTTTGTGTTTGTTGTTGTATTCTTTTGTAAGAATGAATGTGGTGTATGATTTAATTATGATTTAATTAATTAACTGTAGGTACCATTTAATTAAATGCCCACTGCGCCACATTTTTTTAAACCCCACTGGCAGAACTCACAAATTTTACTGCCACGAGCCGCCACTGTAGTACAATATAACTTAAGTAAATTAACCAGACAGAACGTAAATTTAACGTTAATTTAACCAGTTGTGCTACTTGGGGACGCATGTGGGCCTTGATACTTGTGTACTGCCTACCAGCGGCGTCGAAGATTAATATTAAATTTTGAAGTGTGAAATAAACAAAATAATTTTAAATTATTAAAAAAATATATTTAGTAGACTGGGCCAAAAAAATCGACTTTTTTTTTGTTGAAAGTATATCGAAAATATTGTTTGGGGCGACAAAAAAATTATGGTGAAAGTTTGAGTCCATAATATTAATATTAAGAGGTCTCTCTTTTGTCTCAGAACTCCCAAATCATTGAGTTTAACAAAATTGACTTAAGATAATTTTTTAAAGAAAATTGAATGCTCTACAAAAAAGGTTTCATTGAAATTTCCCGTCAGATGAAAGCTTTTCTTACAATCATGCCTTAAAAATTGGTATAGTTTTACAATTTGATCTTTTAACATTGGAAATTTGTAATTCAAGTAAAAATCAGTACCCTGAAAAAAAAACGTGAATATTCTTATGGGAAATCAAATGCTCTACAAAAAAGTCTTTTATCATTTTTGGCTAAATTCTCTCCATCAAAAGTTATTTAAGGATAAATTTGAAGTCAAAACGAAATTTACATGAATTACAAAATTCCAATTTAAAAGATCAAAATGTAAAACTATACCAATTTTTAAGGCATGATTTTAAGAAAACGGTTCATCTGACGGAAAATTTCACTTTAACCTTTTTTGTAGAGCATTTAATTTTCTTAAAAAAATAATTTTAAGTCAATTTTGTTTAACTCAATGGTTTGGGAGTTCTGAGCCTAAAACTTGCTGAGGAAAAAAAATTAAAGTTGCGATGATAGACCTCTTAATATTAATATTATGGACTTTCACAACAATTTTTTTTTGTCACCCCAAACCATATTTTCGATATACTTTTCAAAAAAAAAATAGTTGATTTTTTTGGCCCAGTCTAATATTTAGATTTAATATTGTAGATACCTTCTTTTTATTTAATATTTAGATACGAATAAAACATTCAATGGTACAATTTCTTAAATAATAATTAGTTAATAATTTTCTAAAAAACTGTCTTCATTGCTACTATCATCTGAATCTAAATTAATTAAAATTGGTTTTATTTCCTGGTCAATCTTATATACAAGATGAGTCTTTTTACTAAGGCTGGGAATTTTTTAGTTTTAGAAATTCGAATACTCGTTTGAAAATTATTTCAAACATTCGAATTATTCGAATATTCAAGTATTCAAATATTTGGGTATTCGAATATTCGTGTACCTTACTTGTATATTTGAATATTCAAATATCAAGTACATGCTCGAATATTCAAATAGTCGAATTTTTAAATATTCGAATATTAAATTATTTACCAGGTTCAGTGAAGTTTAACTAGTTTTTGAGATTTTTGAGCCAATCTAGAGATTTTATAAAAACTTCTTATAATATTTAATATTGTATTTGTTTTTTGCTTATCAAACAGATTATAATAATAATAATTATTATAAAAAGTTATTATTAAATCTCTAGGCTATAATTTTTCTCCTCAAAAAAAACGATTTTTTTCGAGTCTTCTATGAAATAATATTAGTTTATCATGCTTTAAAAGCTCTCTTCTAAAATCAGCTCAATTGATTTAAAAAAATTAATGGTCGCACAATAATTTTGAAAATTAAAAAAATAGTTAAAAATTTTAACTTAAATAATTTGTAAAAGATGGCGCTGTAATAAAAAAATCAATTTGTTCGATTTCTCCTCTGTTGGTATACCATTTTGCAATAATTTCTCAATAAAAATATAAAAGTGATATGTCACTTTTTCATTGGAAATAATTATCTTATTAAATTAAATCTATATCTAAGTTTCCTAAAGGGTATTTCCGAGAAACCTTAGGGCCATTTCAGACGCGCGAAACGCACGAATTATAAAACTGTTTTTATAAAAAAAATTGTAGATAATTTATTATATAATATTTTGGCATCAAAATTGTCAAAAATATTCTTCTTTTATTAGGCTTTATAAAAAAAACGCAAAAAATATTTTATAAAAGTAGAGATAATTTTAATAATTGAAAGGTGTGGACGGGACAAAAAAAGATTTAAGATACCTACACGTAAACTTTGATTTTTTTTTAAATATCTATAACTCAGCTGCATTTTATGCTATTAGATTGTTCCAAAAAGGGATTTACTCGGAATCAAAATTTCTACAAAAATGCTTTATCTGCACCAGTAGGATGGTACGGGTCACTAAATCTGATTTTGGTGAAAAATTCTCATATTTTTTAAGATATTTCAAAAGTGACTGGATTTATCGAAAAAACAAACAATTTCATATAATTACGTTTTTTTTAGAGTTGGGTGATTAGAGAAAAATAAATAACTAAATCAAGCATAATTATTAATAAAAAAAAAAGTTTTTAACTTCTCGTTAAGAAAATAAACATTTCCGATAATTGAAGAATTATTTATTGTCTCTTATTTGTGGTAAAATTTCTGTTTGCCTGTGAAGAATATTATAAACATATTAATAACTGTCTTAACGATCATAATTGTAATAATTATTATAATATTATTATAATATATTAATATAGTTTGCGGTATGAGTATTAAGTAATAGAGAACAAAGGAAGCGCTGCAATTAAGCGGAAAATTTTTGAGTTCGTTCAAGGTCGGGTTTAAGTGTTGTTGTGACAATAGGAGTGGGAGGTCCCGATCAACATCGAATGATCGGTATTGTATGAAAGCAATGTTGCCAGGTTTGGTGAAAATTCACCAGATTTGGTGATTTTTAATTCATTTGGTGATTAAGTGAAAACTTTTTTTAAAAGCCTTATTTCTGGTGATTTTTTCGACCCTGATATTTTTAAATTAAAATTTTCCTAAAAACACGGTTAAAATCGGTTAAAATGTTAAATGTTAAAATGTTACCAAACATACAATCTGAATCTACAATTTTAATCTCTAATGTTTTAAAATCTGGTTACAGACATCAATACCTTGGATAGTTTAGGAAACTAAAATATTAAAACATTAATATTTTTGCCCAAAACTAAATTTTGGAAAATGTGTAATGCCAAAAAAGGTTACAAAGGTCTTTTCCAGAGCTTTAAATTAAATAAATAAAACAAAAATGCAACATCGATTAGACTCCTAAACATTAAGTGGAATTTTACATAAAAAGTAAAAGATTAATTTTAAACTGCTGCTTTAACTTTCCGGGTACTACAGATATTATTAAATCGCACAAATTATAGTATGTACCAATAAAATTTGTTTTTTTATAAGAACAAGTCTGTAATAAAATGTGGTTTAAAGTATAAAAAAATACAAAATCTGGTGATTATTTATTAAAGCTGGCAACTTTTAAAGCAAGTGTCTGGTGATTTTAAGTTTTTTGACCTGGCAACATTGTATGAAAGTCACATACTTCCACACAGTGTGGAAGTATGTGATGAAAGTAATATACCTATTTCATATTATGTGATGAAAGTAATATACCTATTTCATATTTTTGCACAGTTTTGGTTTTAGTTATTTATTTTTCTCCAATCACCCGACTGTAGAAAAAACGTACAGAAGAAAAATCGAACAACATTGATTTTTTTCATTACAGTGCCATCTATTACAAATATGAAAAAATGTTTTAGACAAAATCTACCTATTTTTAGTCGAATGATCCGAATCTGCAATAAAAAATAGGGTGTTCCATTGGAAATTTTAAAGTTACCCCCTGTTCCCCCTATAAGGAGGAGAGTATGAGGACCAATTTTAGTACTGATTGATTTCCCCCCTCGAATCATTTAATTTTTATTTTAAACATTTTTTCGTAAAATGCGTAATGTAATGTAATGTAACTGAGATATTTCAAAGTTTCAAGTTAAATGACATGACAGGTTGCATATATTTCTCAAAAAGATTCTGAACGTGAAAATGTAAAAAACTATTCCAAAACAAACTTTTTTTTTTCAGAATGGTATCCTATCTGGCGCCCCCTTTATTTGCAGCTACATAGCTTCAGTACTATTTTGTTACATTGCCGACAAACTAACTACCAAAAAAATCATGTCCCTTACAAACGTGAGAAAACTAATGACTGCCTTATGTAAGTATAAAAGAAAGCTGTCAAAATCTTCATATCATTATTATTGTGTTTTTTTAAATTATTTTTAGCTCAAGTAATACCAGGATTGCTGGTATGTCTAATAAGTTACCTTGGTTGTGATGTCACGTTGGTTCTGATTGTTTGGTTTGTAGCAGTAACCATGATAACAGCCTCCTACGCAGGCGCAATGGCAAATGTCGTCGACATTTCGCCGAATTTGGCGGGTAAGTTTAAAATTGCGCAAAAGCGTTTCCGACGTTGACATATTTTACTTGAAAAAGGACAACTTTGGTGATATGAAACAAAACAGAAGTCCTTTAAGTACTTTTCGCCAATACTGGCATCTTCAGAAGCTAAGTGTAACTAAATGTAATGTGTAATTAATGTAATATATTAAAATGGGTAGCTCCTTGGGGTTCATAAAGAATCACCTGAAACTTTTTTCTCTAAATTCTAAAGACTAAAAATAATTTATGGTTGGTAACAAGCAGCGTTTCCAGATTCTTTAAAAAAAGTTGCCAGATTTTGTTTAGATTTAGCTAAATTAAAAAATGACAAAATCAACAATGCAAATTGTTAATTTGGCGTTATATTAATTGTTTTTTTATGTCATTTTTGTAATAAAGGTGTAAATTCAAACAAAATCTGGCTTTTATGAAATAATTCAGTGCATTTCCTTAAAAATTTTAGGTTATATGCACAAATTGTAAATATCTTAACTAAGAGAAGTGCTTTTGGATTTATTTACACAAATTGAATGTTTAAAGTTTAACCTGTGAACTATTCCTAATTTCAAAAAAAAACCGATGAAAAAATTAATTTTGTGTTTATGGAGTTAATAAAAATAAATTGAGGGGCTTGGAAGTAAAACGGTTCAAGTGCACTTTTTTAAATAAATGATCTAAGTGCAGAATATCACACCTAAAGAATATTCTAACTTATTGGTAAAATTATATAAGTACATTTTACATTCCCTGGCGCCATTTCTTATCATCTTTAAAAACCTGTCAAAATATTTTAAAATATATCTTTGGTAAAACGATTTAAGTGCACCTTTTACTGCTATAGTTTATAAACATAGGCTATTATCTATGCTGCTAAAGCCTTGACAAGTATTTTAAAACATGTCAAGTGATAACGTGTTTTCACAGATATTTTTCAGTGTTAGTCCCTACTGGCATTAATCCGACGTCTGAATAGAATCGGCCATAGTATGTCGGCCAGCAGACGTCGGACGTATGTTCGCACAAGCGATTCTGATTATGAATAAATACTTTTTGTTGTAAAACTTACCCAAATTTTAAAAAATAAAGTTTTGTTCTAGTACAGTAATTGTATTTAAATCATTTTACCACTAAATTTTGTCTTACATGCATGACGATTTAAGTACATTTTTGTAAAAAAAATAACAAAAAAACTAAATTGAAAAATTCCTTTTTCTTTATAATCCTTTTTTGTCTTTAAACAAAACTAAAATATTCACACAGTTTTTTAAACTCTTTAAGTTTAAGTTAACTTTAAAGCCATTTATCTCAGAACTAACAAAAATGCACTTAAACCCTTTTACTTCTAGGCCCCTCAATTGTCAAACCAACAAAAATTGTAATATAAGCAATTTTACTATTTTTTTAATTTAGGTACATTTTATAAATATTTTTTTTTATGAATTTAGAAAGGGATAATAATAGTTCAAACATCTTTTTCTGAATGGAAACCTAACATTTTAATTACAATTACAATTATTGTTATAAATCAGGGATGGGCATCTACGTGTAAATAATATTATTTACACGTAGATGGGCATCCCTGATTTATAACATTAAATATATATATGATTGCCTATGTTTTGGTGTAAACAACGCGTAGACAATGTAAACTAAGTAATCTATGTAGACAACGCGTAGAGTATACACTTTTGAGTCAAAGTTTTGACAGTTGTCAGGTTATGTTTAAAGTTTAAAGAAATACTTGACATTTTTGAGTTGGCTTATTTTAGCCTTAAGTCGGATTTATAGTTCTAAAACAGAACAAATGTCATTACGCGGTCACTACTACAACCGCTACGCGCTGAACTATAAATTGTAAAAATTAGCTACTTACTTACTGCAACTGCAACTGCTAAGGCTACGTTTAGAACTATAAATCCATTATTTGGATTTTAATTTAATAATGCCACGTATGAAAAATAGCTGTTTTGATGAACTTTTATTTACTTTAGTAAATATATATATTCAAATTTTCGGTTGTCTACATTGTCTACATAGTTTACATAGTCCACATAGAAAAAGCGGATGTAAACAATATGTAGACAAACCGCGTAAAGTAGATTTGATAGTCTACGGCCCATCCCTCTTATAAATTAGTATCCTAACTGTAAGTCTTACTATTGAATATTAAGAATTTTTAAATAATAATAATAAATTTATTGTACCAAAAATTTACAGATAATTTTGTTTCAAATGTTTGATTCTGCCACAACCGTGTAGTTAAATTTACCAATAAAACAAGATCAATTTAGCTAAAAATTGAAAATTTTTTTCGCGTTAAAATTATCAATGCGATTTCTTTGAGTGTTCACTTCTGAAGATGCCAACATCGTTGGCAAAAAGTACTTTAAGCACTTGGTGTTGGGGAATATTTCTAATATTTGGTTAACATATTTAATTATTTCGTAGGTCCAGTGCTAGCTTTTGCGCAAACAATCCACATGACTGCAAGTTTTTTGAGTCCCCTCGCGGCTTTCTACATTTTGGACGAACAGGAAAATCGCATTGAATCTTGGAGGACAGTTTTCTACCTTACCGGCGTCATAGCTGTCGGTACCTACGTCTTCTTCCAGATATGGGGCACCGCCGATGTAAGTAATTTTCACTATTTTTTTTAAAATTATTTAATTTTATTTCTCTACGACTACTTAAGAATAGTAACATTCTAGTGTAATTTTTGATCATAGAAATGATGTTTTTCTGCAATACTGTGCGAGAATATTCCTACTCTTGTTTCAGAATGGTCACAAGTAACGACATCTCCTGGCTGTTTACTAAACGTACAAAATTTAAAAATATTTAAATATTACTGAATTATTTATTAATTAAAAAAATAATAGCAGTTGTATAATTAAGGTTTAGGCACAAAAAATTAGTTATATTTATTGTTTTTCAAATATACAAATCAAAATTATAATAAATTTGATATTAAAATGATAAACCAGTTACCTACTATACCGGATTTGAAGTTTTGACAGATTCAAAAAGTTTAAAAAAAGACCTTTAAAATGTAGAAAAAGAATAGATGTTGACATAGATTACTTGTAAAATTAGTTTTGTATTTGTTACAATGTTATTTTTTTTATTAGTTAGTGTAAATAACTATTTTTAATTATAATAAAGATTTAGGCATGCCATTTGTTTAAATTTATTATAATTTACATTATAAAATTGTGACGGCACAAAATGGTTTGGCAATACAAAAAACTTAAATGTCAAAAACTGCTTGGTTTCTTTTCTCTGTTTAAAATTATATAAGCGTTACTATTCTTACGTAGTCGTAGAGAAAATAATGTCTGAAACACGTTTGGAATAGCATATTCCACTCTCGTAAAACCGTCACACTCGCCTTCGGCTCGTGTGTCAAATTTTTCCTCGAGCGGAATATGCTGTATTACAAACTTGTTACAGAATGCACTATTTATTTTAGATTCAACCGTGGAACTACTCGAACGGTCCAGTGAACACTGCCGAGCAAGAGGAGCTGATGCTCGAAAAATCCAAAAACGGCGAAATTGTCATCTCCGTGAACGGTACAAACGGCACAAGTAACGGCAAAAACGGCAAAAGCAATGAAATAAATGCTTGAATTAATCGAAATTTTGCTCCAGCTTTGCCAATGCGAAAATTTCTATTTTTTTTATTTTTTGGTTAATGTGTAGTGTGATACTCTCTCTATTGAAAAATTCCTCATATTTCAAATGTGATAAGTAAGTAGATTTTAGTAGGTAGATTCTTTACATGATGAACTTAAAAATTGTAAGAATACAGCACTTTTTTGTTTGTTTTTTTATGATTTTTCAGGTTTATAAAGGGGCCATAAATATAGGTAATTATATTTGGTTCGCATTATTTTTGGTCCAATTTTAAAAATTGTTACTATTAAATAAAAAAAAGAGGGACAATCTGCAAGTTTGTATTAAAAAATACAAACTTTTTATAGATTTATTTTAGTGCAGTTAGTATGTCAAAAAATCAGGGAGTACATCGAAAAAATTCCGAACTGGTTTTAAGTCATTTTATCTTGTTCCTATTGGTCAGGCAAAAAAGTGTTACATTTTTAATATAATTGTTTGTAGTCAAAACTTTATGTATTTAAATCCTAAAATTATTTTCAAAAATTTTGATTAACATTTTTTATATTTTTTTATAAAAAAACATTCTTACTGTCAAGTTTTTTTCTCCTCAAAACTTAATATCTTTTCTCCTTGTTAAATTAAAGGTACAAAAGCTAAAGATTCTATAGTGGTTATTTAAATATTTTTTAATGGATAAGTGAAGTATCTATTATGGTGGATTAAATGTGGTAGGTATATATTTATTAGATAAAAATATTCCACAATATTCAGAAATTGTTATCCCTACCTTCACAATACGATTTCTGACGGTCGGGATGAAAATTTCCGATTATCGTGGAATATCCCACCCAATAAATCTAAACAAACCATATTTAATCGATTTTAATAAATATTTTAATCATCCATTACAATAATTAATATATTATTATAAAATATAATACTAAAACATTCATAAATTTACAAGAAAAAATACGAAGCAATTAAATAAAAAATTCCTTTATCAAAATAAAAAAATATTTAAAATTAAAATATATATTTACAAATAAGTTCACTTGAGCTTGATTTTCAGTCTATCAAGATTCTCAGTAAAAACAAACATTAAAAAATTGTTAATATTTGGAATATAGAATTGCTATTATTTTAGTTGAAATAATAATTAAAATAATAAACTACAAAAATTTAGTTAATTTACAATACTTTAGTCAAAACAACTATGCTGTGAAGTTGGAAAAAAATAACTAATTGGTCAAATTAACAATAAAATTGTTAATATAAATATTTAAAATAATAAAAATAACTATTAAAAGCGCTTGGGCTACCTACCTTATATGGTTAAAAATAACTATTTAAAGTGCTATATTGTTAAAAATAACTATTTTAGTAGTAAAAATAACCATTAAAACAAATTAAAACGACCATAATATTTAGTTTGAATAACTATATAACCTATAACCATTTTAGGATTACTATTTTAAAAAGTAGAATGACTATTTTAAATTGTTAGAATTACTATTTTAGTTTAGGAAGTTAAAAATGTTTTTTAAATTCTTGTCGTTAAACTCTATTAATTGAGAATAGTTGATATACGATTTTTTCTTGATAAAATTATCAATGCGATTTTTTTTGAGTGTAGATTATCCTCTATAACAAAAAAACAGGTTTTCTTTGGCATTATTAATTTCTTTTATTCGCAATTGCCCCAACTTTGACCTTAACAATTAAACCTTTCTACTAAATTCTTTGGCGATATTTTTTCTGTAATAAGAGTTTTAAAATTTGTAAAATTAAAAATGCACCTACTACTCATTTAAATTTAACAACCATTAGGTATTATAATTATTTTTTTATGTGGTACCTATAACACAATATTAAAACTACACTGAGAAAAAAGTTTATTGCTCCCAAATAAAAAAATATTTAAATATGGGACAAGGGTACAGTTTATTTATCCTAAATATATTTTTATTCCCGACACATAAAGTTTTACTAAAGTATATTTATCGTTATTATTTCGACTATTTAGAGGTAATAAACAATATATTTACTATTAATAAAAGTATTAGCTACACAGTTTATTTGTCCCATTTTTTTCTCAGTGTATGAGCGTCATTTTAAAAATATGGGTAAACATTTTCAAAAATATTTGAATAGTGATAAAAATCTAGTATCCCATATTTTTTGCAGGCAGTATGTATAAAGGAGGGGAATAACAAAAAAAAATAATGATTCTCATTTGTAAATTTAAAATTAAAAGTTCTTATATATTTTTAAGATCTCCAACTTTTTTATTAAGCATTTTTACATTTAATCAATTTTAAAGTGAAAATTTAAAAAAAGTCATTTTTGTCAACTTTGTATTAAACTACTTTTTGTCCGTCCAATAGAAAACGAGATAAAACTATTCATTTTTAGAATAGTATATTAAAGTACAAGTTGCAGAAGGCCACATATTCTCGCACGAATTCGAAATTTGGCCTCGAGCGACGAAGGAGCGAGTGGACGAACGAATGAGTGCCAGAATAGCCTTCTGCAACGTGTGATTTATACTATTTTCTCGATTTTAACTTTTATTTAGGTTTTTTTAATTGTTTTGTGGTCGTTGTTAGTTAGGGGATTTTTTTCGCAAAATGTCAGTTGGCAACACAAAATGACAATATTTGTTATCCTGCACAAGTACAACCTGAACTGCACTTTTTTACATTAAACTTAAAATTTTGCATTAAAATGCATTGTTGGAGCAAGCTTAATATTACAAAACAATAATAAAGGCTTCATTTTCATTAAAAGTAATGAATTTGAGGTTATTAATCAGTTTGACATTTTGGGGGTACCAATACTTAAAAACTAAATGTTACCAAAAATCGTTTAAGAATGAGCTTCATTCTTCAACGATTTTGCGTGCAAGAATATGACATTCTTACATAAAAATCGAGAAAAGGAGTTTTTTCGATGTCAAAATACACATTGACTCTACTTTAGTACTATTAAGCTGCCTATACACACAGACACCAGACACCGAGTTTCATGTCTGAAAATTTGCACACTGCAGCTAGACCAAAAATATGTTTTTATATAATTTTCATTTACATATTACGTTTTCGGTTTTGAAGTTAGAACCTATTTAATAATTTATTGTAATAATTATTCTTGTCGATTCATAGCGACGAAACTAAATTAAAACCAGTGTCGCAAGTGTTTGTGTGTGGAGACTTAAGTTGCTCTATAGACCAATGTCTAGACTCTAGACTAAACATAGAAGTGTCTGTGTGTATGGGTAGCTTTATACTGGATAGTATTTAGCAGAAATGTATATTATTATACATACATGTTCAAAGATATGTATTATCTTTGTACATGTTGTCCCAAACTAGGAAAACCCTAGAGTTTAGCTACATAAATACACAGGGTGTTCAAAAGTAAATACCTAATTATTTTTTATATATATTTTTTTTATTGTCCCCTTTTGTTATTTTATATTTACATATATGAAACAGCCATATGTAAAAAATAAAATTTGTACTTATCATTTTACTTATTGTAAATACCTTATTACTTAAAGTGTTACTTATTATTATGAATTAAATCAAAAATTATAATTATAATTAAATTAATTTAACTATAATCTCAGTCCACTTATAGAAAAAAAATACAAAGTACCTAATTAAAACAATAAAATTTAGTTAGTTTAGTTTATAATAAATCAATTTTTTGTACAGGTTTATTCAACAAATATTTAATATAAATTTTGGAAAAATTGTATTTTCAAAATATTTTGAATAGCCCTGTATAATGTGAGTAAATCTCAAAATTTTGTAAAATTAAGATAGAATAGAGTGTATTTATAATTTAGAAAAAAACTGTAACGAAATTTCCGAATTTTAATAATAATTAATATAGTAGTGTAATATACAGTGTGTTTACCTGTACAGGGTAAACCAAGTATGAGATCTTTTTTATTTCAAGAGCTACAAGGTTGGTTAAATTAGAATTATGGCGGCCATTATAAAAACAAAAGATGGTGAAGGTTACTCAAAATATAGCAGCGAAAAAGTAGATTGATGTGTATGTTTGAATGTGTTTTTAAATTGACAGGTTTTCAGTTTTCTTTGAATTATGGCGCTGTTTTTTTTATTTTCAAATTCCATAATAAACTAGTTGTAGCTTTTCAAATAAAAAATACACCCTGTAGACAGTAAAAAAACAGTTTTTGTCTATTATGACTTTTTTGTGGACACACTGTATTATGTTCAAAATTTAGTTATATTTAACGATTTTAGAGAAATTGGCAATTATTCTTAACTGTTATTCGTAGGGAGATTTTATATGAAAATTAAAAATCTCCCTATTTTCGAAAAAAAAATTGTAGATATGTTATTTGACTTAAAAATTAAGAAAACTATTGGCTTATTATAAAAATATACGTAGTTTTGTTTTAATAAATTAAAATTTTGAGAGTGCCAATAATAACGGGGGTTTTACACTCAAAAAGTTGCAAAACTCCCTGTATACAATGTATAGTGTATTTACTTAAAAATTGCATTCCTAACTGCGAAAAACCATTTTATTATGTTGAATGTAGATATTGTATTATTAATTATAAAAAAGCGCACATTATTTTCTAAAAAAAAATATAATAGCACATATTTGTATTAGATAGTACTACAATAATGGTTTCTGTTATTTATTTTTTTGTATATGTCACGACATACTTTAAAACCACATCTATAGATTAAATATATATTTGTTTATTAATTTTGAAGTTTTATTTAAAAATATTCCTCGATTTCTTGCTATCTGCGATTTTAGACGAAAATGAGTTTATGATTTTGTGGCTGAGTGTATTTGGGATCGAGTAGTTCAAATAGCCTACACTAGAACCACAAAATCGAGTTTTTTATATATCTCCGTAGCCGCAAAATACTGTAAAAATGCTTAGGTAAAAATGTATGTACCTACGCAACCATCATACTCATGGAGTGCCTTCTTGCTTTTCTATAATCAGAATTTTTGTGGTTTATTTGTATTTATTTGTGCTTTACTCTGGCAGTGCCACGCTAGCACCTTTTTACTTATTTTTTCCATACACTCCATGAACAGTGTAAAAATTCTTTTATATTTAGGAAAAATAGTATTTTTTCTACTCCCACCTTTAAAACGCCCTTTATCGTACATGTTTCCATGACACTAAGTGACCTTTTAAATACACATTGACAAGTTGTGGCTTTACGGCGCTTTAGTCACGGGCTGAAGTTAGCAACAGGTTTTTAGTCACGGGCTGAAGTTAGTTTTAAGTTAGTTGACAGCTGTCAAATGTCATACAATCGTTAAAATAATACTAAATGTAAAAATTATTTTATTATCTCAATATAATACAAAAGTATTAAATAGTTTCTCAACGCCAATATTTGAAAAGTTTATATGAACATTGTACTGACCTGACCGGAAGTACTATAACTATAACCTAAATTCGGGCACGGACTCCACTGTAAAGTGCTCATAATAGTTATTTACGTGTCAAGCTTTGTAAATGAATCTTTACGGGCGAGCTGGAAGTTTGTGGGGTGAGCGACGCAGGAGCAAACCCCATATTCCAGTGAGCCTAGTAAAGATTAATTGCAAAGCGTGACACGTACAAACTTTTATTTTCACCTTTAGATAACGATTTTCAAATTTAAAGTTTTAATTAATATGTCAAATGTGACATTTCATTTAATAAATTGCTTTTCTACAAGCCTGTAAAACTTTACAGGTCTTTTAAACAAGCCCGTAAAATATTACAGGTCTGTTCCCATAATGTATCGTTTACTTGGTTACAAAAACCACAAAATTAACCTATAAAATGTCATTTACTAAGAAGGTGGAAATAAAACATTTTCTTTACTTTCACTGTGAAAGACTGTCAATTTTCAAGAAATACATTTCGTTTTATAACCTTTATAATGTGTAAAAATTTGACATTTGTCGGTGACACACAGATTCCCCTTATGTTTCATAGATGGCGCTCTATACAAATTTTTGATTTAAATCATTTTAAAATAATAATAAGTATTTGTCGTAGAAAAAGTATAGTATGCACCTCGTTTATAAACTTTTCTATACACTCATTAATTTAATTTAATTAAATTCGTGTATAAAATGGCGTTTATCAAACTTGATACATTATAAATTAAAAAATTACAAATTTCAAACAGAAAAGAAGTAGGTATAATTCTTTTAAAAATGCTCTTAACATTGTTTACAACAAATCTTTAATTTCTTATCAAATATTGTACATTTCCCTTTTCTTTACTAGTATAAAAATATATTGTTATCATTAAATAAGAACAATGAGCACATAAAACAGAAACAATAAATCTTGTTTATCATACTCCTATAAATACCCAATAAATTCATTTATATTTTTTATTCGAGTATTTTACGATGTTGAAGCCTATAGATGTGGTATTTTTTTTACATTTAACTATTGTAACATGTATGGTGAGTTTTTGAACAATATTTTTTGACTTTAGGTAATTTTTAATGAAAATTTTACTCGTGAATGTTATTTTTTAACAATCAAAACATCAAGAATGACTTTTCTTTAAAAAAATCAAAAATAAAAATATAAATAAGCTTGATCCTGGAAAAAAAAACAAAGAAAAAACTTTATAATTTCTCTCGTAGTTTTTCTATTCAGACAACTGTCAGACGAACTTAACCACACTTTTTATCAACTTATAAAAAAGCTAACTTCAGCCATAAAGTCGCAGTTTGTCAATGTCAAAGTATAAAACTATAAAAGATTTAAGTGTTTAAGATGTTAAGAGCTTTTATATTTTTTTTCAGAGCATTTACCCCTTTTTTGACATACCAAAACCATATGCTTTAAAAACGTTCTCAGAGCGTCAAACATTCCTCCATGAAGTACTGTCAAATTGTGAAGCTTACCAACAAAATAGGGAAAACATTTTGAATTCGTTAAAAAAAGGAAATAGAAATAAATACATGAATCGCCAGGAATGGAGCGATATTTTATTGTGTTTCGATAAAAAATTGGGAATAATCAAAGAAGATGGCAAATTGGACATCAAGGGGGCCAGAAATTATTACAGCACAGAGTACAATAAAAACACTGCCGAAAAAATGGACGAATGTTTAATTGACAAGGAATATCCAGAACAAACAGCCGAAAGCTTATATAAATGCCAAGTGAAAAAACTAAAGCGAATAGGCGTATTTTAAATGTTTATTTTTGTATAATTTCCTAATAAAACAATAAGTATGAAGAAGCCTTTATTTAATTCAATGTAGTGTGAAGTAGCCTTAACCCATCTGTCAAAACAATAACATAACCCTACATTTACAACGTGATGATGATTTTTTGCGTATTTTCGCGAGTTTAGTAATATGTTGCGTAATTTTTTGACTACCGTGCCTTATACGAAGTTTATTTTAATTGAAGGTATTTATTTTTACACTTTAAATCTATTTTATTGCTATTTTTTGTTGTTTTTTAGATAATGTGGCTGACAGGGGTTATGATTTGTTTAACTTTGTTGTAAATAGTCAAATTAAACGAGAAAATAGTAAAATTCATTTTTTGGTGTGCGAGAATGTATTCTCAAGGGTTAAAGCACAATTCAGTGGTAATAACGTACAATTTTATGATATTGTAAGCAACAATTTAAACTGGACGAAAAATACCAGATATACCCTAGACGAAGTAGCAAAAAATGTTTCCAATACCGACATAGTAATAATTAACTCACTATCAAATGCCATAATTAACTTTGGTGTATCCGAAGTTTACAGATTTTTAAATATTTTAATTGCAGAAAAATGTGTTCAACAAATTTTAACAATATTGCATACAGATTTATTGTTGGATAAAAATTGTGTTGAATTTTTTGAGCATCTGTGCACACTTAGTATTAGAATTAAACCTAAATTTTATAGTGATAATGCTAGAGTTAAATATAGGTACAAGAAAGTTGGAGGAAAGATTATAATGCAGGTAAAAATTTCCTTGAACAATTTATAATAAATAAAAATAGTTAGGTACATTGGGACATTTTAGATGGAAGAGTATAAGTTTGAAAACAATAATTTGCTGACATACAAAATTGAAACTGACGCCTCAAAAATTGAACAAGTGGTTGCTAACAACGTGAATCCAGAAAATTTATCTACATTCAGAATAGGTTTAAGTGAACAGGAAAAATTGTCTAAAGAAAATGTGGTTTTACCTTATTTACCCAAGTAAGTAACATCATTTAAATGCTCCAACATGCCATCTAGACATAAATGGTCTAAGGATTATCTATCTAAAGAGGCAAAGATTTTATTATTATTTAAGGTTTATTTTTTCCAATGTTTAATGTGTTATTTTAATGTAATAAAACTCTTAATTTTAATGTATTTTATGTCATTTTAGGACTGACAAAGAGGGTAAAATTACTTACACCATGGAAGATATTGATGACTGGGACGAAGAGGACCCTGATGACGATTTGGATATATAAATATAAATGATGCTTTTTATTTTTATTGTTTTTCTTATACAAATCATCAGATATATAAAATTAACAAATTTTGTTTGTTTTAATGAATAGGTATATTAAATTAAGTAAAATTTAGTTTGTTCTTAATAATAAAGCATAAAAATAATTCAAAAACTTTATTTTAATTTTTGTAGAGTTTAATAAATAAATATCAATAGACCTTGACAGCAAATTCAGGGGTGCCAACGTAGTCAAAATAAAACGTTAACAAATTAATACTTTATTACAAATTAAACGAAATCCTTAAGGGGTCTTACCGCCTCAACACCACGGACACACTTAAGGGGTCTTACCGACACTTGGGTAAAAAATCATTTTTAATACTTAAAAAAATAATAATTTATTGTAGAGTAAGACAGTACAGTATCAAAAAAACAAAAAACAACAATTGGGCTTATTTTTTTAAATCACCAGTGGAAACAATACACAATCGGCCCAACAGACCCGATAATTGCAACAAAGTGCACAAACCGTCCACGATTTTGCAATGAGTTTGACCGATTTCCTAAAAAGATTTCGACGGAAAATATAAAAAATTACGTTTCATTTTAAAGTGCAACGTTGCCAAACTTACCTTGATAAACTTCAATTTCAAGGGTTCTTCCATGGTCAAACTTTTGCACACTTTGAATATATTTTTAATGATATCTTCCGCAGCATAACCTAAATTCCATAGATGTTCAATTATCTAAAAAAAATATGAGAGCCATTGTACTCTAAAGAATGTGTAAACATCTTGCCTGTTTTTTTTATTTATGCCAAAGCGCGATAATTTATGCCAATGTGCAAATTATTCCAACTATTTTTTTAATTTATGGTAGTATGCGAAAATTCCCCACAATTTTGAACTTTTGTGCGAATTGTGTGTGCGAATTTGTCCTACCATTTTTTAATCCTTAATTTGGTCAGTTTTCAATTACCCAGTTTTAAAAAAATTAAATGTACAGGCAGTTTCCGATTATGTACCAATTTGGAAAGTTTACACGTCAAAATCCGTATATACAGAAAAAAAATCGTTAATCTTGAGATTTATCCGAAGAAGTGGCAACACTGCTAACGCGTTACATTTTAAGCTCACTTTTTCCCGTAGTTTGAGTAAAAACAAAAAAATGCAGCATTGTCGCATTTTTAAAGAAACTTTTCAACACTGATTTTAACTGAGATTTGGCAACATCGCATTTAAAAAAACATTTTTTTTATTTTACCTTGTAGGCTTTTCTTATATCTCCTGCTATGCAATGGTTCAGCATTTCTTTAACCAATAAGGGATGAGGTTCATCACATACTTTAAAAACGTTTTCCTGATTTACAATGCTAAAACCGTTAAAAGTTGACTGTAAATTATTTAAAGCTTGTCTCATATCTCCCTGTGCTGAAAATACTATGGCTTCCAAACCATCTTCGCTATAATTGACCTAAAATAATAATATTTTTTGTTTTACCCCCATGTGTTGCCTACATTGCAAATGAAGCGTAAATTGAAAACTGAGTAGGGAAAAAATAATGTTTATTACCTTTTCTACATCAGCAATAGTTTTGACCCTTGCTAAAACTTGTTCATCTGTAAGTTTTGAATACCTCAAAATGGCACATCTGGATTGAATAGGTTCTATAACTTTTTCACTATAATTACAAGCCAAAGCAAATCTTGTTGTGTTACTATAAATCTCCATAATACGCCTTAAAGCTTGTTGGGCACCATCAGTCATGCTTAAATAAAATTAAAATATATTTTAAATTAATTTTAATCATAACGTTAAATATTTAAATACAATTTTAAAATGCAAATACTTTTAATGTTACCTTACCTGTCTACTTCATCAAGAATAATAATCTTATGTCTTCCAGGAGGCAAAGTAACTTTTTGCTGGGCAAACGCCTTAACTTTATTACGAATAACATCGATACCCCTCTCACTAGAAGCATTCAACTCCAAGACAGCATCCCTGAACGCTTTTCCGAGCAATATTTTCGCCAAACACAGTATCGTCGTCGTTTTACCAACACCAGGGGGGCCCTAAATAAAAAACAACGTAGAAAACAATTATCATAACCTCACTTTTAACGTACCGCTATAATTATGTTGGGAACGTTCCCTTGCTTGGAAAAAATCGCCAATCTCGATAGAGTATCGACGTTGCCCACGATTTCATCGAACTTTTGCGGCCTATACTTTTCAATCCTAGAAAAACACACTTAGCACACAAAAATTACACTTCTTTAAATATTTACCAAGGTATATTGGTCAACTCTTTTTTCGTTGATTTTTCCGGCTTCTGAGATGTTTCCGGAGCCTCATCAACCTCCATAACGTCCATTTTTGGGATTATTTTGAGAGAAAATAGAAAAAATATATGGGATTCCCTCCAAATTCAAAAAAGTTTGGTTAGGTTATTGACGGTTACCAACGACCTGAAAAATGAAGATTTTTTTGACATTTTATAAATTAAATTGATAAAAATTCCTGTAATCAACCAAATAACAAGCGTTTATTGTAAAATAAACATAAATACAAAGTTTTTTATGTTAATTTATCTAAAAATAGCCATATTAACCACACTAACTCAAAACTTTGTACCTCTATTGTTTTACGATTGTTTCGCCATCTGTTAACGAGTAGTCTAAGTTTTAACAGGGTTTGTTTTATTGTTAAATTTTAAATATTTACAATGTTTATAAGCAAAATACACAACAAAATCAATTTTAAAGGGTTGAAAGTTGATAAAAATGATTAAAACGGTGATTTTCTTTGATTTTATACCAAAGTTGTAGGATTTTTACGTTACATTATGGATAATTATAAAGTTTGTTTAAATGCGTTATAAAAGAAGTTTTAATTGTATACTGTGCGTTAATTTTGTTGTTGTTTTAGTGCCATTGACGTTTAAATTCATTCACTACAGCAGGGAGTTTCGTTTTGGGGTTGATTCACTAGAATATTGATTAAATTTCCCACCCTTAATATATCGTCAGATCTTGTTGAAATATGGTGAGAATTCGCAGGATTTTTTTCTAATTCCTGCAGAAAATCGCGATTAAAATAATCGCGGACAAAATTGCGTAGGTTCTAATTTCGCGTAAATGTTGTGTTTTTTTATGATTGTGTTTAATTAAGGGTCCAAAGAAAATATGTTGGAGTTTTGGTGTGATAATTTTATTGCAAGGTGAAAAATATTCGCGAAAAATTAGATTTAGGACTTTCAATCGAGGAAAAAGGACGGTGAAACTACGTAACATGAAAAAACGGTATAAATAAACGAAAAACCACCCATTAAAAACTGATTTATGAATTTGCTTAGCATAGGTTGTGAATTATTAAATTAGAAGGTAAATAAAAAGGGGAAAATGTTCTATAAAGTGAGTGTACAGCATGCAAGACTAGTGGACAATCAAAAACTAAAAAAATTGTGACAGAATTAACGGGAAAATAACAGGAAAAATGCAGAAGGAAAATTCCAACCCAACCACTGAGATCCATCAGTATGTTGGGCCTTACAGGTTGGAAAAAACCTTGGGAAAAGGCCAAACAGGTAAAAACAATTGAATGTGTGATGCGCAGTAATATGTACATAAGCTGCGCAGTACCTACATTATAAAAAATACAGGGTGTCCATGTATTTACTCAAAATATTGTAGCATACACCAAAAAGACAAATTTTGGTTACCCAGTACATATAAAATTTGAAAAAAAAACAAGCAAAAACTGACATAAATGGTTTATGAAATACTTAGCAGTAAATTTAGTACGAATAAAAACGTAATTTAATAAAAAGTTTTCATAAACAAATGTTCTAAAACGACATTTTCTCTTTGAAATAAGTACAGGTTGTTAAAGTTTAAATATTTTTTAAGGTTTTATTTAATCATATATTATATCACGAGAACTATGAATTTAATCGGTTAAACTATAGTTTATAGCCTATAGGCTCAGTAGTTTTTTGTTTGGTTTTTGTTGGAAAATGTTGAATGCAAAATAATTTAATAAAATCACGAGACCACGTAGCGGTCGAAGGGTTTTATTTTTAATTATTTTGCATGAAACTATTTTCCAAAAAGAAAAATCAAATAAAAAACTTACTGAGCATAGTTTGACAGATTAAATTTATAGGTTGAGTGATATACGTCTAGATTATTTCTCGAATTAAAGGAAACTATTTGACAATTCATAAAATCTGACGTACCTATGTGTCAAAATTTATAAATATTTTTTTAAAGAAAATTCCTTTAATTTAAGGTATGTAATAAGTAATAATTGATATTTCGTAAACTAGATAACTTATTTTTTAATGTTTTTAAAAAAATGTTTGTTAAAACTTGTAAATAATACCATAAAATCGTAAACAAAAATCCAATATGGAGGCTAAAATTTAATCGCTGTTAAATAGTTCTAGTGATTTAATCGCTTATTTAAACGAAATTTATTCGAAAATTCAAGGCTTTTGATTGGTTCATATTATAATGATGGAAATAATCTCCTTAAATTTAAAAAATATCCAAATTTAATATGCATTCACATACAGGGTGTTTCACATTCGTGGTCCATTAGAAGTTTCTGGAGAACAAAAAAATATATTGATTTAAAAATTTTAAAGCGTTCATAATCCATTTAAATCAATTTTTTTTAAAATATTTTAAACAAAATGCCACTTCCGGCTTGACCGGAAGTGACATCAACTTTGTTATTTTAAATGGAACACCCAATATATTTTTACATTTTTAAATTCTACATAAAATTTTGAGTAAAATTACTGTTCCATGTCCTATACCTAAAATGAATAGTTTTTGAGTTATTAATTTTTTTCGTTAAAATTTGACAAATGCGCGTCAATCACAAATAGACTATAACTTTTTTGTTATTAGGTTTGCAAATATGGCGGTGGAATTTTTGGAATCTTAAAACATTGTTTAAAAGATTATATGTCAATTCTTTAACATATTTCTCAAAAAATTACCTGAGAAAACCAGGGCAAATTAGGCTAACTTGAAAAGTTAATAACTTTTTTATTTTAAATGTAACACTTGGAATGTTTTTATATAATCAAATACACTCACAGGCAAAATAATCGATCCACGCAAATTTTCTATGAATTTCAATCGCAAATAACTTTTTTATTTGATGTCGGATTTAAACGAATATTAAAGAATATTGTAGATAAATTAATGGACAATCGCTCACATTAAAAAAAAAAAAAAATAGACGTACGTTTGTAATATAAAGGTTTAAACAAAAAGATGTTTTTTACCATAAGTTTAAGACACTCTGTAGAGGTGTCTTCTTACTTTAAAAAATGGATATGTGTCCGACTGATGTTGCCAGAGCCATTAATTTAATCCAGGATGGACGGTCACAGTATTACGTGGCAAGTGTTTTAAACGTCACAAAAAGCGTAATTTTATAGGGATATAGCAGTTGTTCGTGCATTATTTCCCAAACTGTACTTTTTGGAACGTCCTTTTGTATAGCAATTCTTCTAGTGTTTGTCCCAGGATTAGCGGCAACTATAGTATACTTCCAGGACCGTTTCTTTGTTTTCCAATGTTCAAGTTGTTCGATTTCTCCCGCAATCACTTTTGTTTACTTTAAAAGTGCCAATTTCACACAGTCTTTAATGTTTACTGGTAATCGTCCGTTCACATGGGGGTATACCCTGGAATGCTTCTTGGTACAATCTTCGAGCTTCGCGACTATTACCATTGGCCTTACTTACCGTAGAATTTTTTAAAAAGTGAAATTTATCATTTTTGTTAGAAATTACAGATGGTTTTGGTTTATCTTATAAGATATGACAAACTTAAATTTAGATACAAACTGGAACTAAATGCGCCAGCCTCACACATTTTTTAAACAAATCATACACCATACGCTAAAGAAGTATCGCTAGCAGCGCCACCACTCGGCTGTTATCATCGTAACAAAAGTATAAATTTTAATAATCAGCTGACAAACGCTTATGTTACAAACGAATGTTTTTGAGAACAAAGCCGGAAAATGTTAAAAAATATCGGAAAAAACCGTGGCTCGTTGTGTTGTTGGGTGTATTTCGAGTATTATATAAAATATTATATTGCCATGAATTCGTAAGTATATTTTGTTGTTTAAATGTAGGAAGAGTCTACGTATACTGTTTGTTGCGACGGTTATTATATAAACTGCGCACCAGTCAATGTGTCGCGACCAAAAAGTTCGTCCTTTTTCAAAACGACATAACTTTTTTGTTTCTTAAACGATTTTATTTTGGTCTGTGATGTCTGCTAGCCCCATCCTCTGGCAATTCATGCTATAGATATGAAGCTCACGGTTCTTCAAGTAAATTTCGTACAGGGAGATATGTAAAACGGTAAAAAATTTCAATAACTTCATCCAAGCCCCGTTTGTAAAAAAATTATTTTTTTCTCGTGTTTACTTTGAAATAATGAGGAATATGTCTTACCTTGAAACGTTTTTCAAATTTTTCGAATTGGAATCTTACCAACGAAAATAGGATTATTTTTCCAATTTAACAGCAGGAAATTGTTTTCGAATTTTGATTCTAAGTGATTTTGGTTTTATAAAGAAAACTTGTCACGAACGTAAATATCGGTTCAGGATTAGTTTTCGCAAATTTTTACCAAAATGTCATTTTGAAAAAGTGGTCTTTGCTTAGGCCCCTCTGAAAATAATGGAAGTTTGTTGCTTGTCGCTTGTTCAGAATTATTCAAGGAACAATCTTTCACCATCTTATCTCCTTGTTCTTAAAAAGCCTTAAATGTACTATTTTAGAAAAAAAATCATATTTTCTTTGCCAAGATTCCAATACGAAAAATTTTAAAACATTTTCAAGGTAAGACATAATACTTCATTATTTCAAAGTAAACACGAGAAAAAAATTATTTTTTTACAAACGGGGCTTGGATGAAGTTATTGAAATTTTTTACCGTTTTACATATCACCCTGTACGAAATTTACTTGAAGAACCGTGAGCTTCATATCTATAGCATGAATTGCCAGAGGATGGGGCTAGCAGACATCACAAACCAAAATAAAATCGTTTAAGAAACAAAAAAGTTATGTCGTTTTGAAAAAGGACGAACTTTTTGGTCGCGACACATTGACTGGTGCGCAGTTTATATGTATAATAACCGTCGCAACAAACAGTATACGTAGACACTTCCTACATTCAAATGACATTTGATTTTTTCATCAATATTAATTATTAGCATTAATAAATGCGATTTCGGATAAAATTTAATATGCACCTCGGCATTAAAGTCATTTTTTATCACTCACATGGTTATTTACGGTTTCTGACCGATATAAATGTAATGCTAAAAACGTTGACTACACAAAAACCATTGTTCATTCTTCTGTGAAGTGTTGAATCGTCTCAAAGTTTTTAAGACAAAAATTGGCCACTGAGAAGTAGCGATTTCATTCCCCTTGATTTCTTTCTCTGAAGATTTAAAAAAAAGTAATGTCGATAGGTTTAACAGCTCATTAATTATATCGAACGCTTCCAAAATTTTCGAATACAAAACTTTCATGTTCTTGATGATAAATTATATTTTGTGGGCAATTTGCTAAAGATACGAAAGTGAAATCGTATCCGCATTTTTTTGTGAATTCAGTTACCTAAGTCAGCATTTTCGAAATTTGTATTAGCTGCCGACTAATGCTGACTTTAGCTTCGGCTAATCCTAACACGTTTTGGGAAACTTTTTTCATGACTGCAGTGACTTTGACAGCTTCAAATTCCATTAGAGAAAATACGATCGTGCACGATAAACACTCCTTATTTAATTAAAAAACCTGGATTTAATTTTGTTACATCGAAATTCAATGTGCTTACCAAATTTAATCAATATATTCTGAAAAGCACACTCTTTTACACTTATTTAAGAACAAAAGAAGTCTTCAAATGCAATCATTCCTTTTAAATCCTTCAGGTTTAACCGTTTCTCAAAAGCTCTTTGCAGATTATTGAATATTGCTTACTGAAATAAATTTAAAAAAAAATACAAAATGTATGTATTAGTAGTATTTCCCTTGTCATTTAGAAAGGGTTAAACGACAACAAATTTTTTTTATCAAAATTGTTTTTTGAATGTAAACAAATAATTTAAAGTTTGGATTTACTTAATCTGTATATATACAGATTAAGTAAATCCAAACCTTAAATTATTTGTAAAACTATAGTTTTACCGTGAAAATACAGTATATAGTCTATAGTTGGTTAGTACATTTTGAAATTTTAAAAATTTAAGCAATTTTAAAAATATTGGATAAATTAAACATTTAGAAAATTTTTGAAATTTAAAATAATATTTATAAAATTTAAAAAATTTGAAATATTGTCAATTTTGAAAATTTAAAAATCTTTAAAATTTTGAATATACCTAATATATTCAAAATTTTATGTCCCAATTTTGTGCGACAAATTAAATTGAAAGAAATTGCCTATTTGTTCTATTTTTAGTCAGATTATTACAAGAAAGATTCGGAAAAAATAATTTTAGGGGTAGGGGAGTTTGATAATTCGTCACATGACATTTAAGGGGGGTCTTTACATCGCCACATTCTGTCACGGGGAATAGAAAGGGGGTTATTCTTGACCATTTTTAGCGTCACGAGATTTATGGACTAACTTTTTAATTTTTCATTTACTTAAGACAGTAAAAATACAAAAATAATATTTTTCTACGACCACTATGTAAAAGTCACTTTTCATGATGGCATCGTTGCTTAGAAAATGAATCTTTTCATTGGCAAGGCAAAACACGAATGTAAAGTGACATTTCTGTGTGAAAAGTGACAGGTCTGTGTGAAAAGAACCGGAAAGCATCGTTAGACATTCAGCTGTCAAAAAAGTTTTTAGGTTATTTTGTTTTGTATTTAAAAATAATAAAAAATAAAAGGGTCGCAGAAAAAACATTGTGTTATACTTGTGAGAAAAGCTTTCTTCAAGCTCGTGTTAATGCACACTCGGCCTAACGGCCTCGTGGGCAACTTAAAAACTCGCATGAAAAAGTCGCTTTTCAACACTTGTAAAACAAATTACTATTACCTACTCCTATTGAATAATATTCGTCAATAATGATAACATTATAAATTTCCTGCCCAACAACAATAATAATAAACTCATTATTCACGTTGTTAGGCATCAGTGATTTTAATATTCACTGTGATTTAAACCAATCGGGTTTTTAGTTGGGAGATGCGACTATAATAACATTTAAAATTGGTAAAAAGTGAGGTTAATCATTTGTCAGATGTCAGATTTTATTTAATTATTTTAAAAAAGCATTTAATTATCTACTTATTGGAGTAGAAAAAGTACCTATAGAATTTTACTCAAGATTATGCGCAAACCTCATTCTCTTAAATAATTATAGCCTGCATTATCTCTCGTATAATAATATCTATACTATTATTAGCTCCAATTTTTGATAATAATTTTAGTATCCTACACCTTGAATTATCAAATAATTTGGTAATTCAAGGTGTAGGATACTAAAATTATTATCAAAAATTGGAGCTAATAATAGTATATTATTATACAAATAAAACTAAGTATGGTTTGAAGTTTAAACTTGGAACTAATTCGTGGTTTTTGTCAAAACTTGCTTTATTCGTTGCTTGTCTCGAAAAAGAAAATCGGATGAATTGTCAGTTTTAAAAAGTTTGTGTCTTAATATAAATATTAAAAAACTGCATTTTTACAAATCACAGGTAGAATTAAAAAAATATGGTATTCACGTTAAATATGGTATCATACTATCTGCCAGTGCCAATCTTAGTTTTAGAACTAGACTTTAACATAGGCAACCAAACTGACACAAACATTGTTTTTTTTTCAGGACTGGTCAAATTAGGTGTACAGTGTGTGACTGGAAAAAAGGTGGCCATTAAAATTATAAACAGGGAAAAGCTGAGCGAAAGTGTTTTAATGAAGGTAACATATTTGATATAAAGTGTGTATCAGCCAAATGGAATAAATTCGATAAACGTACTCCAAAAAAAACTTTTTGTACAGGGTGTGTTCATTAGGGGGCGTTTTTTGGAACACGCCTCTATTTATGTATTATCGAATTAATTCCATTTGGCTGATACACACTGTATATATTTTTCTTTTTTTTTCAAGCAAAAAAATATTAAAATTGTTTTAGGTTGAACGAGAAATAGCCATCATGAAACTGATAGACCATCCACACGTATTGGGGCTAACAGACGTTTATGAAAATAAAAAATATTTGTAAGTAAATTAAACATAATTTTTGTTACATAAAATTGTTCTTTCATTTCTGCAGAAAAAGAACTTGGCCTCCTATTTTAAATAAAAAACGAATTATTGTTAATATTATGTTTATATTGTAGATACTTAGTTTTGGAACATGTATCAGGAGGTGAACTATTCGACTATTTAGTGAAAAAGGGAAGACTAACACCTAAAGAAGCAAGAAGATTTTTCAGACAAATCATATCTGCGTTGGATTTCTGTCACAGCCACTCTATATGGTAAGAAATCATACACAAATTTTTTGATGTTCAACAAAAAATATAATGACATATTTTTACAGCCATAGAGACTTAAAACCTGAAAACTTGTTATTGGACGAAAAAAATAACATCAAGATAGCTGATTTTGGAATGGCATCGCTGCAACCAATGGGATCGATGCTCGAAACTAGCTGCGGTTCACCTCATTACGCATGTCCAGAAGTAATCAGGGTAAGCAAAAAATCGAGAGGTGTTAAATCCGAACTTACCGTGTCCAATTTTTTTCTTCGCAGGGTGAAAAATACGACGGTAGACGAGCTGACGTTTGGTCTTGTGGAGTTATACTGTACGCCCTTCTGGTCGGAGCCCTGCCTTTCGATGACGACAATTTACGACAATTATTGGAAAAGGTAAAGAGGGGGGTATTTCATATCCCCCACTTCGTCCCACCTGACTGCCAGAGCCTACTACGAGGCATGATAGAAGTGAATCCAGAAAAAAGATTGACGGTAAATATGGAAACTTATTTCCATATAAACTCTAAAAAAATTATTATTTAAGCTTGCCGAGATCAATAAACACCCATGGGTAACCGCCGGAGGTAAAGGAGAGTTGGAACTGGAACTACCCATGATGGAGGTCGTTCAAACACATGTTTTACCATCAATTGAATCTGTGGATCCAGACGTCCTGCAAGCCATATGCAGTTTGGGTTGTTTCAAGGAGAAAGAGAAGCTTATCCAGCATTTATTAAGTCCTAGGTAAGAATTATTGTTTTTTTAATGTGTGAAAATAATGTTATTTTGATGACCCTGTATCAAGGATGCATCACTGATACAACGGTCAGTCGTCAAAATAACACAATGGTGTCTTTTTAATATACCCTAACTTTGAAGCTACGTGTACCAAAGATTAACCCAGAAAATGTATAATACTATATAATATCGTGAAGTCGTATTTTGGGAAATTCGCCCTTAATAGGGTGTTTCATAAATATCCACCATAATAAGGGCGAATTTCCCAAAATACGACTTCACGATTGTGATTTAATCCGCAGAAACTTGAATGTCTTAAAACTGATTATATTTTATCCAGCATGTATTTAAGTCCTAGGTAAGAATTATTGTTATCAATGACGGTGTCTTTTTAATATACCTTCCCAGACAGCAATATGACGTCTTAATTAAGTCTGCATAAGCTCTATTTTATGATTTGGACGTCAAATACAACATCAGAAAAAAGTTTTTAAGAAGTTCTGTAGACTTCGAATGCGCCACCTATTGAACTAATCAAGACTTCTCAAAAAAGAACTTTTGAGGAACCCTTTACTTTGACTTCGCAATTAAGCATTTTAAAGAGTCCTACTGTATAAAGTTTATACTATAAACTTATAAAAAGACTTCTTTAGAATTTTCCGTTTTGGATATAAAAGTACTAGTATACTAGGGTACTAGGGGTGTCAATCCCGAGCCCATTTTCCAATCCCGGGCCTTTCGGGCCATTTTTTCAGGTTTGACGTTTGAAATATGTTATATTATAGGTTATGTACATGTACATGTACATACATTATGCATAAATTTATTCTACAGTGACCTGTATTTTACATTTTCTTTGCTGATTTTATAATATAGATGGAACCACTCTTGCTATGTTATTTCAATGTATTTGGATTATTGTACGGCGGTGTATAATAATTTGACTTGAACTGAGTAAAAAAATGAAGTGTTTATATATATGCTTATGAGTATTATAATATAAAAAATGTCATACGCTTAAAAAAAGTCTATTTTATTTTTTGTAACTTATTACTAAGATCCCGGGATTGGGACTTTTAATCCCGGGATTTTCGGGATCGGATTTTTTACGAGATCCCGGGACCCCGGGATTTCGGGATCCCGGGATTGACACCCCTATAGGGTACTGATGAAGAAATTGCATACTGGATCGTTGCTTATTTTGACATGTCAAGTTTATTTTATTAATTTGTTAAATTGATTTTATTAAAATCATTTTAATAATTTGCTCGTATTCGCTTATTTTAGGAATTGCGATTACTTCGTCTCACTTTTGTTTAAATTCAAGCGTGCTCTTCACCGGCACCGATAGACGGCCTGTTTCGCTCTTCTGGAGCTCATCAGTATCGGGTAGCCGTTTACCTAGGTTTAAGACCGTTTGGTATGGAGCACGCTCTAAATTCTACTTCGCCGCTTATATATCAAACACAAGCAGTTACAGCGGTGAAAAGAAAGTAATCGCATTAAAATGTCATAAATGTCACGTCTCCATGTTGACTTCTAAAAGAGTTAATAGTATGATTTCAATTGGAAGTAAGAAAAAAGAATACTCTGTAAGCTCAAAATAAATTGTTTAAAAAGAGGTCAAGAAAAGATCTTCATTTGTACGTAAAAAAATTGACTTCTTATTTATGAGTTCATTAACAGCTCAAAATTCTGAGCTCATAAAAAGGAGCTGTTTAAGACGTCATGTTAGAACTTCTACAAGTTGTTTAAAAGACTTCATACTTTCTGAATTGGATGCTGACTGGGTTAACTTTGAAGCTACGTGTATCAAAGATTCACCCACAAAATGTATAATACTATAATTATTCGTAATCGTTGTTTCATTAGCTTTAAAATGATATATAATATATACGGTGTTTCATAAATATTCACTATAATAAGGGAAAATTTCAAAAATACGACTTTTTTTTAATGTGTGAAAATATTGTTATTTTGATGACTGACCCTTGTATCAATGATGCTTCATTGATACAAGGATCAGTCATCAAAATAACACAATGGTGTCTTTTTAATATACCCTAACTTTGAAGCTGCGTGTATCAAAGATTAACCCACAAAATGTATTATACTATATATATTCTTAATCCTTGTTTTAATAGCTTTAAAATGATTTATAATATATAGGGTGTTTATATAAATATCCACCATAATATCGGCAAATTTCCCAAAATACGACACATTTTATTAACATTTTTTTTAATTATATATTTTCTTGTTCGGTATTAAACCCATTTCAAAACTATATAATATACAGGGTGTTACATATCCACCCGCATTAGTATGTGGGAATTTACCGTATGACGACCATTATCATTTCATATCTATGTTATTCCTAGCTTAATTTTAACATAGTTTACGCCATTTTGACCGATTTCGTTTTTTAGTCATAATACCGAAAAAGTGATATACTTCCTTCTACTCGAAAGAAAACGTCGAAGGCCGGCTTTTGAAGACGATACCGATTCGGTTCTAAGACTGAGAGCTGAATCCAGCGATCCTCCCAAGAAAAGAATCGATACTTGTAGAGTGAACGGACAAAATACGTTACAGTTTGGACAAATTAGTGAGGGATCGCCGCTGACACCAAGACGATCCCACTACAAGTAATACTGTGATTTTTATTGAATTTTTTTTCATCTTTTGTGTTTTTTAGAAGACACCACGCAAGAAGAAGTCCCTCCACCGGTAGTACACATAGTAGTTTAAGTATACATTCACCTACAAGGTCATCCTCAGGTGCTTCAAGTCCCGTTTTATTCAACAGCACCATAACGCCGACCAACACACATTGTAAGAACAAAAAACATACACAGCAAACGGAAAATTATAGAAGTGTATAGGATGACGCCACGTTTGAATATGGTTTTCTAAATCTCCCCACGGTATAGATTTGTATTCGTCAGTCGAGCGTTTCAATACTCTCCACAGTATAGAGGTCGTAATTTCACTTTTAAACTAGTATTAATAGAAAAATTATTTTATGCTTAAAAAAAACTATATACGACATGATTGTGATTTTTTTCATTTTATTAATTAATTAAGCTGTGTTGAATATTTTTCCTAAAGGAATAATTGCCAATGGGCCATTAATTCATTTGTTCGTAGATGCTACAATAACCTGCACTGGTGTGTACTTTTTCATCAACCAGATTTAAATATTACAAAACTAACATATACCAGTGGAGATAGTGCAGGGTCTACCAACAGACCTCATTACTAAATTATTAAAGTTTAATATTTAGCATATCGATCATTTTTTCAACATAACCTCTGAAATTTTTAATACAAATATAGGTACTTTATATAATACATAAATATACTTAACATCATATCCTCTGTGCTTTACATACCTGAGTTGTTACGGTAAATAAAAATCAGACAAAGGAACCAAAGAAAGGAACTATTTTCAACAAAATCATATGGAGAAATGAGAAAATTCATCCATCAAAAGATCAAAACTTCTTGCAATATTACACCCTCTTTTTATACTCTCAGAAATATTGACTAGAACAGTATTAGAGAGACTCCAGTTTCTATAACTTGGTAGAGTAAAGAGAAGTCGAAACCGTTGCGATATTGCATTGCGCTGTTTTTGTATAATTTTTGGGGACATTAACGAAAATCATTGCCAGTAAAATTCGAAAAGCTTGAGTTTCTATGTCTCTGAGGAGAATAGGAATCCGAAGTTGCTGCACCATTGGACTGAACCCTTTTTTAATAATTTCTAGAGACATAAATGACTGCACCATTCGACAGGGTCGAGTTTCTACCTCTCTGTTGAATATAGAAAATCAAAACAATGTATCTTGTAAGACACCATTGAGTTTGACTTTAAATATTGTCGTGCATAGGTATAGAGCCGAAAAATATAAAAACAAAGCACGATTCAATACAGTTCTGATAAAACTTTAAGATTTGATATTCAAACGCGGAGTCATCCTATACAGTTCTATAATTTTCCGTTTGCTGTGTTATATGCTAAACAAAAATACAACTTTTTACATTTCAGCGGCGATGTCGTCACCGATAGGTTCGAGAAATTCCTCCCACCACCCGCACCGAAGTTCCACGCATGTCAGTTCCAACACCCACGTGACAGTTACTCCTCCCCCTGCCACCCCCACTCATCACCGAGCCAACAGCAGCGGGGGAACATCGGTATCTTCGGTGTTATCTTTGACGTCCCCTGAGAACGATACCACAAGCTTAGTGACAGGTAGGTCTTTGAAATATGTTAATAATCATTATACAGCCCGTTCAGAGTAAAACCGAATATATCTATATCACAGACCACCAAAACAAATGGACGGCGCATTGCCATTCAATAACAATGCTTTGTTTGCGGTCAACAAACAGTCACAGTCTAAGCGTCAAATTGGAGATAGAATTTTATGTTTTCTTCCAGTGATGTCAACAAACGGTCACATTCTAAGCGTTAAATTGGCGATAGAATTTTATGTTTTCTTCCAGTGACGTATTGGGATTAAAAAAATAATAAGTAGGTAGGTACTTACAAACGATATTTCCATGTATTGTTATTATTAGTAAAAAATAATGTATTTAAACTCCATAATTAACTTAAACACGATAGAAATACACAAACGAAAACACAAAACAACAAGCTGTCAACCTTTTTCTATGCTGTCAAATATGTCGAATTTACCAACGTTGTTAATATTTAATTTTAATAATTATTAAATGATTTACTTTCTTTAAATAGAGAAAAATATCTAAAGAAAATGATGAACAAATCCTTTTTACAATTTTTTTAATATTCAAACGAATTACTGGTAATTATTAATGTTCATTATGTTATGATGAACGTCCAAAAAGGCGTGTAATAATCTATACTTCTGACAACGTTGGAAGCCGTGTTTCTTTCGACGGTGTTTAGAATGTGAAACTATGCTTTACTCGCTTTTTAAACGTAAACAAATCCGTCCATTTGTTTTGGTGGTCTGTGATCTATATATATATGGGGCGTGGCCTCGCCTCCCTCCAACGCGCGACACAGTAGCTAAGCAAATAGCCTGCATCGCTAATGAGATTTTTTGCATTATTATCATTTAATTTTTTAAGTCGTCTTACCTGCTCGACCTTTCGTCATGTCGTTTATCACACAAGCTACTGTGACGCGCCTTGGAGGGAGGCGGGGCCACGCCCCATATATATATAGATATATTCGGTTTTACATACTCTGAACGGGCTGTATATTGTCTTGGCCGTATTCAAGTTTAATGGACCTGAATATGGTTCTATTCAAGATTTGACTTATGTGTCCGAATACTTTGCTGCTCTTATACTTTGTGGATGTTTTTACCTTCATAGTCATTGAATATTTTGTGATGAATACCTCTCAATGGATTAAGTTTCTCAATACCTCCCTGAAGTATTCACAGTCAAAGTTGATGTATGTTCTGTTTTCTATACCTCAGTCAAGTGTTCAAATCTCAACTTCATAGTCTATGAATATTTTGTGATGAATAGGAATTTGATATAGGAAATTCAAGGTGCCGAATACTTCTCAAGTTTTTTTAATACTTCCCTGAAGTATTTGCAGTCAAAGTTGATGTATGTTCTGATTTCTACACCTGAGTCAAGCGTTCAAATATTGTGCTGATGAATGTTATTCATTCTGCCTTACGTGTGGGTATTTGGGCTGTGTAAAAACTAATATTGTATGCTCTCTACTTGAGTCGAGGATTCAAATTCAAAGTGGAAGTGGTTTTTCATTGTATATATGCGATATTTTGACATTTATTACAGTTTAAAGGAATGTAAATTGCAATTTTAACAGTGGCGGCTCGTCGTATAAAGCAACTGAGGCCGGGCCTCACATGTTAAAATTTTAATATAATTTGAAATTTTCGATACATTACCTATTTAAATATAAAACGTTTTAAAACTAATTTCCAGTCATATTTCCTTTAAATTTAGCGCACACCCCTTCCAACTTTAATTCTAAACGCTTAAATCATTGCCCGACCGCATAATAGGGAAATAGTAATCCCATAAATTTGCGCTTCATATACGTCACACATTGCCGATACAACATCATGCTCCCCAAGGCGGGGATAATACGCGAATTTTTGTAGACATTGAGGCCCACAAAGTTGGGCTTGTACCACAGTATATGGAAGACAGCAGAGTCAGTCCCGAGATCTGTGCGGCTCGCTTATCAGCCGTTGTAAAAGACTGGGCGGGGCGTGGAATGTTTTAGTAAACAAAGCTTATTAATTAGATCTATGCGTGTTTATAGTTTCTTATTTCTGTTTAGTCTTTGCCTTAGCGTTAAAATGGAAAGTTGTGATAAAAATGGAAGCGTAAAATATATTATTGTTTTGTGAATTCATGTAAAAATAATTCAAATAACTATGAAAGATCATTTTTATTTTAATATAATATTATATTAACACACAAACACCACAGTAAAAATCACATAAAATATAAATAAAAATATTCATGTTTTTTTATAGTTCAGTGTTAAATCGTTGAGTTACATATACCTACTGTGCTTGTACATTATTATTTTGTTGTTGTGCGGTTGTGCCTTTATTGATCTAAAAATAATTATTGTAAGATAGGTAAAAATGGGTAATGTGGAAAACTGCTGAAGGAATAAATAAAAATCCCACCTCGTCCCGCACTTTTTGTATTATTCTAGCTAAATTTTAAAAATTCTTCTCGTGAAAGAACATATTTTTAAATAATATATTTTTATTAATTACATTCTGAGGTGCTCCAAAAACGCGAGACTTTGAAAATTTCAAAAAAAAAAATTGCCTGCGGTGCCATATAGAGGTTCATGGGCCTCACCTTCATGTTTGGTCACGAGCCGCCACTGAATTTTAAACCAACAACTTTAAAGCTTAAAATCTTAAAAACTATTTATACAATGTTATATAAACTGTATATTTTCCTTAACCCTGTTAAATTCTCTTTAAAATGATTTATGTGTTGTTAGGTGTTTGTTAAAACTAACCCTTTTATCGGCAAATTTCCCAAACGTTACCTCTTAAATATAAAATCTTCTTACCTTAACTTGGACCAAATTGCACTAAAATAAAAAACTCAACCCCAATATTTTACATATTTTCAAAATCCATATTTAACTCCCTTCTCAACCATTTATAATATACAGGGTGTTCTTAGTAACGCATAGTTTTACAGCTTAATTTCCCAAAGGGCGTATTTTATTTTTATCACATGATGATTTGTTATTTTAGGCTCTAACATTTTGACCCCAATGACCCCTCCTGGTTCGCCGCACTCCAGCACGAGCCACCACTGGCGATCGAGGCTTACCACGATCAAAAACAGCTTTTTGGGCTCGCCTAGGTTCCACAGGAGAAAAATGCAAAGTACGTTTTTATCATTTATTTAAAAAATATCCTGATATATCATATATATATATATTAGGGTGTCCCTTATTTTTATTTTTTTTACGCATACCCTCTAATTATATTTATTACTTGTTTATATACTCCCAGTAAAAATTTCAACTCATTCTATAAACGGGAACCCTCCGTTAGCCAACGTTAGGAGCGCGCGGTATTTTGTAACACGAAACACTTTAAAAAGAAGATATACTTCATGACTGTATTTTTCTAATGATTTTATTAAATATGATTACTAATTAATATTATTGCTTTTGTTTCTATCATTTGTTTCACTAATTTAGTTGTTTTTATCCCTTAAATATATTAATATACTAATTAGTATTGCTAAAATATACTGTTATATGAAATTTCAGCTTTTTATAAGCATTTCTTTTCTTGATGTCCTCCCAAAAATATTTCAGACAGTTCAATAAGTTTTCGGTAGTCATCTCTCACAATAGACTCTTTTAGTTATTTAGAGTAAAACCCATTAAGTTTATCAATTTTAGAGTTTACGGCCTATTCACCAGACCCTTCCAGGTAACTAGCCACTCCCTGTGAAAATATACATTTTTATCAAAGTATACACATAAATAAAATTATATTTTAACATTTGTCAATAATTTATAATATAAGGGTCACATAATAACAAACACAAAATGACTTACGATCGAAGACCTCGCGACCAACCGTGTTACAAAATACCGCGCGCCTAACGTTGGCTAACGGAGGGTTCAGATGCAAGTCGGCACGGGTTCCCGTTTATAGAATGAGCTGAAATTTTTACTGGGAGTATATAAACACGTAATAAATATAATTAGAGGGTATGCGTAAAAATAAGGGACACCCTAATATATATATATCATATATATATGAATGGTATTTTTTAGCTTCCTCAGAAGAGGTACACCTGACCCCAGAATCGTCGCCGGAGTTGACAAAAAAATCCTGGTTCGGAAGTTTGATGACGACCGAAAAAGACGAGACGTTCACCATTTTGGTGAAGGGAAAGCCTCTGGCTTCGGTCAAAGCCGACTTGATCCACGCGTTCTTGTCCATAACTGAGTTGAGCCACTCCGTCTCGAGCCCTATGTCGTTCAGAGTCGAGTACAAAAGAGGCTCGACCGGGCCGGCGATGTTCCAGAGGCACGTCAGATTCCAAGTGGACATTTCCACCATCACCAAGCAAAGCACTGATAACGCGAAAGAGCAACTTTTCGCCATAACGTTCACCTTACTGTCGGGCAACATAAGGCGATTCAGACGGGTCTGCGAACACATCCAAGCCCAAGTGTGCACCAGAAGACCACCACCGAGCCCCAGGGCGCAGAGAAAGTTCACCACGGAGTTAAGCGAGAGTTCAAGCTGTGGCTCGGACACCAGCGAACTCTTTTTGAACTCGAGACAGGTAAGATTTTAGTTAACTTAACTTTGACGTCACGTATGTCGCTTATTAGTTCATACAATGTATAGATTATGTATATAGTTGGATTCCTTGATTATTTAGCTTTAAAATTATGTATAATATGTAAAGTGTAAACCGCACTTTCGTATCTCTTCGCGTTTGGAAGTTACACTCGAAAATCGCGATATTTTTCTCAAAAGGGTCCCCCCTTATGAAATTTTTTCTGAAAAACATAAAAAAAAGTTGCAAAAATAATTTTTCCTTGCTAATTCGAGCACGCTGATTCCAAAAAATCAAACCGCACTTTCGTATCTCTTCGCGTTTGGAAGTTACACTCGAAAATCGCGATATTTTTGTCAAAAGGGTCCCCCCTTATAAATTTTTTTCTGAAAAACCTGAAAAAAAAAGTTGCAAAAATAATTTTTCTTGCTAATTCGAGCACGCTGATTCCAAAAAATCAAACCGCACTTTCGTATCTCTTCGCGTTCGGAAGTTACACTCGAAAATCGCGATATTTTTTTCAAAAAAAAGTTGCAAAAATAATTTTTCCTTACTAATTCGAGCACGCTGATTCCAAAAAATCAAACCGCACTTTCGTATCTCTTCGCGTTCGGAAGTTAGACTCGAAAATCGCGATATTTTTTTCAAAAGGGTCCCCCCTTATGAAATTTTTTCTGAAAAAAAAGTTGCAAAAATAATTTTTCCTTCCTATCTCGAGCACGCTGATTCCAAAAAATCAAACCGCACTTTCGTATCTCTTCGCGTTTGGAAGTTACACTCGAAAATCGCGATATTTTTGTCAAAAGGGTCCCCCCTTATGAGATTTTTTCTGAAAAACATGAAAAAAGTTGCAAAAATAATTTTTCCTTACTAATTCGAGCACGCTGATTCCAAAAAATCAAACCGCACTTTCGTATCTCTTCGCGTTCGGAAGTTAGACTCGAAAATCGCGATATTTTTGTCAAAAGGGTCCCCCCTTATGAGATTTTTTCTGAAAAACATGAAAAAAAAAGTTGCAAAAATAATTTTTCCTTACTAATTCGAGCACGCTGATTCCAAAAAATCAATCCGCACTTTCGTATCTCTTCGCGTTCGGAAGTTAGACTCGAAAATCGCGATATTTTTGTCAAAAGGGTCCCCCCTTATGAGATTTTTTCTGAAAAACATGAAAAAAAAAAGTTGCAAAAATAATTTTTCCTTACTAATTCGAGCACGCTGATTCCAAAAAATCAAACCGCACTTTCGTATCTCTTTGCGTTCGGAAGTTAGACTCGAAAATCGCGATATTTTTGTCAAAAGGGTCCCCCCTTATGAGATTTTTTCTGAAAAACATGAAAAAAAAAGTTGCAAAAATAATTTTTCCTTACTAATTCGAGCACGCTGATTCCAAAAAATCAAACCGCACTTTCGTATCTCTTCGCGTTCGGAAGTTAGACTCGAAAATCGGGATATTTTTGTCAAAAGGGTCCCCCCTTATGAGATTTTTTCTGAAAAACATGAAAAAAAAAGTTGCAAAAATAATTTTTCCTTACTAATTCGAGCACGCTGATTCCAAAAAATCAAACCGCACTTTCGTATCTCTTCGCGTTCGGAAGTTAGACTCGAAAATCGCGATATTTTTGTCAAAAGGGTCCCCCTTATGAAATTTTTTCTGAAAAACATGAAAAAAAAAGTTGCAAAAATAATTTTTCCTTACTAATTCGAGCACGCTGATTCCAAAAAATCAAACCGCACTTTCGTATCTCTTCGCGTTTGGAAGTTACACTCGAAAATCGCGATATTTTTGTCAAAAGGGTCCCCCCTTATGAGATTTTTTCTGAAAAACATGAAAAAAAAAGTTGCAAAAATATTTTTTCCTTACTAATTCGAGCACGCTGATTCCAAAAAATCAAACCGCACTTTCGTATCTCTTCGCGTTCGGAAGTTACACTCGAAAATCGCGATATTTTTGTCAAAAGGGTCCCCCCTTATGAGATTTTTTCTGAAAAACATGAAAAAAAAATTTGCAAAAATAATTTTTCCTTACTAATTCGAGCACGCTGATTCCAAAAAATCAAACCGCACTTTCGTATCTCTTCGCGTTCGGAAGTTAGACTCGAAAATCGCGATATTTTTGTCAAAAGGGTCCCCCCTTATGAGATTTTTTCTGAAAAACATGAAAAAAAAATTTGCAAAAATAATTTTTCCTTCCTAATTCGAGCACGCTGATTCCAAAAAATCAAACCGCACTTTCGTATCTCTTCGCGTTCGAAAGTTAGACTCGAAAATCGCTATATTTTTATCAAAAGGGTCCCCCTTATGAGATTTTTTCTGAAAAACATGAAAAAAAAAGTTGCAAAAATAATTTTTCCTTACTAATTGAGCACGCTGATTCCAAAAAATCAAACCGCACTTTCGTATCTCTTCGCGTTCGGAAGTTAGACTCGAAAATCGCGATATTTTTGTCAAAAGGGTCCCCCCTTATGAGATTTTTTCTGAAAAACATGAAAAAAAAATTTGCAAAAATAATTTTTCCTTACTAATTCGAGCACGCTGATTCCAAAAAATCAAACCGCACTTTCGTATCTCTTCGCGTTCGGAAGTTACACTCGAAAATCGCGATATTTTTGTCAAAAGGGTCCCCCCTTATGAGATTTTTTCTGAAAAACATGAAAAAAAAAGTTGCAAAAATAATTTTTCCTTACTAATTCGAGCACGCTGATTCCAAAAAATCAAACCGCACTTTCGTATCTCTTCGCGTTCGGAAGTTAGACTCGAAAATCGCGATATTTTTGTCAAAAGGGTCCCCCCTTATGAAATTTTTTCTGAAAAACATGAAAAAAAAAGTTGCAAAAATTATTTTTCCTTACTAATTCGAGCACGCTGATTCAAAAAAATCAAACCGCACTTTCGTATCTCTTCGCGTTCGGAAGTTACACTCGAAAATCGCGATATTTTTGTCAAAAGGGTCCCCCCTTATGAGATTTTTTCTGAAAAACATGAAAAAAAAATTTGCAAAAATAATTTTTTCTTACTAATTCGAGCACGCTGATTCCAAAAAATCAAACCGCACTTTCGTATCTCTTCGCGTTCGGAAGTTAGACTCGAAAATCGCGATATTTTTGTCAAAAGGGTCCCCCCTTATGAGAACAGCACAGAAGAAAGAAGAACGACCAATAGCCAATGCAGACCATATGGTGGCATTCCACCACATACACTACAGGGCCGGCTTTATCGATTTTGTATATTAATATTTATATTTTTAAATTAAATTTGGAAAAAAAGTAAGAATGCAAAGATAAATTAAATGAAAACGGTATAAACACTAATTTAGCAATAAAATAAATAAAGAGTATACAAGGTTGGTAGCCGGAGTAAGCAAAGAACTAACATACCCACCCCCATTCACGAATACCAATTGAATGGGGTTACTACTAAGGCCTAGGTTGAGGAGGATTCCGGATTGTACTTAGTTTTGGGTCAGTTCAATGTCCTCCAAAAACCCTTCCTAAACTGGACGTATGGCCCGACCCGGCTGACAAAAATTCCGGGAGCGGCCTTAACCTTTGACACTGTCATACACAACCTCCTAGGGTGGAACTACCAGCCAGCGTAAAAACTTCGGATCCAACAAACACAGGTTATGCTGTGATTTGGCGGGATACGCAGGAGAACGGAAAGGGGGTAAAATAACCCCTGGAGATTAGTGAATGACAATATATCTAGGGCCTGCCATACGTTCCCATACTCATACATACTCATACTCACTAATTCGAGCACGCTGATTCCAAAAAATCAAACCGCACTTTCGTATCTCTTCGCGTTCGGAAGTTAGACTCGAAAATCGCGATATTTTTGTCAAAAGGGTCCCCCCTTATGAGATTTTTTCTGAAAAACATGAAAAAAAAGTTGCAAAAATAATTTTTCCTTACTAATTCGAGCACGCTGATTCCAAAAAATCAAACCGCACTTTCGTATCTCTTCGCGTTCGGAAGTTACACTCGAAAATCGCGATATTTTTGTCGAAAGGGTCCCCCCTTATGAGATTTTTTCTGAAAAACATGAAAAAAAAATTTGCAAAAATAATTTTTCCTTACTAATTCGAGCACGCTGATTCCAAAAAATCAAACCGCACTTTCGTATCTCTTCGCGTTCGGAAGTTAGACTCGAAAATCGCGATATTTTTGTCAAAAGGGTCCCCCCTTATGAGATTTTTTCTGAAAAACATGAAAAAAAAAGTTGCAAAAATAATTTTTCCTTACTAATTCGAGCACGCTGATTCCAAAAAATCAAACCGCACTTTCGTATCTCTTCGCGTTCGGAAGTTAGACTCGAAAATCGCGATATTTTTGTCAAAAGGGTCCCCCCTTATGAGATTTTTTCTGAAAAACATGAAAAAAAAAGTTGCAAAAATAATTTTTCCTTACTAATTCGAGCACGCTGATTCCAAAAAATCAAACCGCACTTTCGTATCTCTTCGCGTTCGGAAGTTAGACTCGAAAATCGCGATATTTTTGTCAAAAGGGTCCCCCCTTATGAAATTTTTTCTGAAAAACATGAAAAAAAAGTTGCAAAAATTATTTTTCCTTACTAATTCGAGCACGCTGATTCCAAAAAATCAAACCGCACTTTCGTATCTCTTCGCGTTCGGAAGTTACACTCGAAAATCGCGATATTTTTGTCAAAAGGGTCCCCCCTTATGAGATTTTTTCTGAAAAACATGAAAAAAAAATTTGCAAAAATAATTTTTCCTTACTAATTCGAGCACGCTGATTCCAAAAAATCAAACCGCACTTTCGTATCTCTTCGCGTTCGGAAGTTACACTCGAAAATCGCGATATTTTTGTCAAAAACATGAAAAAAAAAGTTGCAAAAATAATTTTTCCTTACTAATTCGAGCACGCTGATTCCAAAAAATCAAACCGCACTTTCGTATCTCTTCGCGTTCGGAAGTTAGACTCGAAAATCGCGATATTTTTGTCAAAAGGGTCCCCCCTTATGAAATTTTTTCTGAAAAACATGAAAAAAAAGTTGCAAAAATAATTTTTCCTTACTAATTCGAGCACGCTGATTCCAAAAAATCAAACCGCACTTTCGTATCTCTTCGCGTTCGGAAGTTACACTCGAAAATCGCGATATTTTTGTCAAAAGGGTCCCCCCTTATGAGATTTTTTCTGAAAAACATGAAAAAAAAAGTTGCAAAAATAATTTTTCCTTGCTAATTCGAGCACGCTGATTCCAAAAAATCAAACCGCACTTTCGTATCTCTTCGCGTTCGGAAGTTAGACTCGAAAATCGCGATATTTTTGTCAAAAGGGTCCCCCCTTATGAAATTTTTTCTGAAAAACATGAAAAAAAAAGTTGCAAAAATAATTTTTCCTTACTAATTCGAGCACGCTGATTCCAAAAAATCAAACCGCACTTTCGTATCTCTTCGCGTTCGGAAGTTACACTCGAAAATCGCGATATTTTTGTCAAAAGGGTCCCCCCTTATGAGATTTTTTCTGAAAAACATGAAAAAAAAAGTTGCAAAAATAATTTTTCCTTACTAATTCGAGCACGCTGATTCCAAAAAATCAAACCGCACTTTCGTATCTCTTCGCGTTCGGAAGTTAGACTCGAAAATCGCGATATTTTTGTCAAAAGGGTCCCCCCTTATGAAATTTTTTCTGAAAAACATGAAAAAAAAAGTTGCAAAAATAATTTTTCCTTACTAATTCGAGCACGCTGATTCCAAAAAATCAAACCGCACTTTCGTATCTCTTCGCGTTCGGAAGTTAGACTCGAAAATCGCGATATTTTTGTCAAAAGGGTCCCCCCTTATGAAATTTTTTCTGAAAAACATGAAAAAAAAAGTTGCAAAAATAATTTTTCCTTACTAATTCGAGCACGCTGATTCCAAAAAATCAAACCGCACTTTCGTATCTCTTCGCGTTCGGAAGTTACACTCGAAAATCGCGATATTTTTTTCAAAAGGGTCCCCCCTTATGAAATTTTTTCTGAAAAACATGAAAAAAAAAGTTGCAAAAATAATTTTTCCTTACAAATTCGAGCACGCTGATTCCAAAAAATCAAACCGCACTTTCGTATCTCTTCGCGTTTGGAAGTTACACTCGAAAATCGCGATATTTTTGTCAAAAGGGTCCCCCCCTATGAAATTTTTTCTGAAAAACCTGAAAAAAAAGTTGCAAAAATAATTTTTCCTTACTAATTCGAGCACGCTGATTCCAAAAAATCAAACCGCACTTTCGTATCTCTTCGCGTTCGGAAGTTACACTCGAAAATCGCGATATTTTTGTCAAAAGGGTCCCCCCTTATGAAATTTTTTCTGAAAAACATGAAAAAAAAAGTTGCAAAAATTATTTTTCCTTACTAATTCGAGCACGCTGATTCCAAAAAATCAAACCGCACTTTCGTATCTCTTCGCGTTCGGAAGTTACACTCGAAAATCGCGATATTTTTGTCAAAAGGGTCCCCCCTTATGAAATTTTTTCTGAAAAACATGAAAAAAAAAGTTGCAAAAATTATTTTTCCTTACTAATTCGAGCACGCTGATTCCAAAAAATCAAACCGCACTTTCGTATCTCTTCGCGTTCGGAAGTTACACTCGAAAATCGCGATATTTTTTTCAAAAGGGTCCCCCCTTATGAAATTTTTTCTGAAAAACATGAAAAAAAAAGTTGCAAAAATAATTTTTCCTTACAAATTCGAGCACGCTGATTCCAAAAAATCAAACCGCACTTTCGTATCTCTTCGCGTTTGGAAGTTACACTCGAAAATCGCGATATTTTTGTCAAAAGGGTCCCCCCCTATGAAATTTTTTCTGAAAAACCTGAAAAAAAAGTTGCAAAAATAATTTTTCCTTACTAATTCGAGCACGCTGATTCCAAAAAATCAAACCGCACTTTCGTATCTCTTCGCGTTCGGAAGTTACACTCGAAAATCGCGATATTTTTGTCAAAAGGGTCCCCCCTTATGAAATTTTTTCTGAAAAACATGAAAAAAAAAGTTGCAAAAATTATTTTTCCTTACTAATTCGAGCACGCTGATTCCAAAAAATCAAACCGCACTTTCGTATCTCTTCGCGTTCGGAAGTTACACTCGAAAATCGCGATATTTTTGTCAAAAGGGTCCCCCCTTATGAAATTTTTTCTGAAAAACATGAAAAAAAAAGTTGCAAAAATTATTTTTCCTTACTAATTCGAGCACGCTGATTCCAAAAAATCAAACCGCACTTTCGTATCTCTTCGCGTTCGGAAGTTACACTCGAAAATCGCGATATTTTTTTCAAAAGGGTCCCCCCTTATGAAATTTTTTCTGAAAAACATGAAAAAAAAAGTTGCAAAAATAATTTTTCCTTACAAATTCGAGCACGCTGATTCCAAAAAATCAAACCGCACTTTCGTATCTCTTCGCGTTTGGAAGTTACACTCGAAAATCGCGATATTTTTGTCAAAAGGGTCCCCCCCTATGAAATTTTTTCTGAAAAACCTGAAAAAAAAGTTGCAAAAATAATTTTTCCTTACTAATTCGAGCACGCTGATTCCAAAAAATCAAACCGCACTTTCGTATCTCTTCGCGTTCGGAAGTTACACTCGAAAATCGCGATATTTTTGTCAAAAGGGTCCCCCCTTATGAAATTTTTTCTGAAAAACATGAAAAAAAAAGTTGCAAAAATTATTTTTCCTTACTAATTCGAGCACGCTGATTCCAAAAAATCAAACCGCACTTTCGTATCTCTTCGCGTTCGGAAGTTACACTCGAAAATCGCGATATTTTTGTCAAAAGGGTCCCCCCTTATGAAATTTTTTCTGAAAAACATGAAAAAAAAAGTTGCAAAAATTATTTTTCCTTACTAATTCGAGCACGCTGATTCCAAAAAATCAAACCGCACTTTCGTATCTCTTCGCGTTCGGAAGTTACACTCGAAAATCGCGATATTTTTTTCAAAAGGGTCCCCCCTTATGAAATTTTTTCTGAAAAACATGAAAAAAAAAGTTGCAAAAATAATTTTTCCTTACAAATTCGAGCACGCTGATTCCAAAAAATCAAACCGCACTTTCGTATCTCTTCGCGTTTGGAAGTTACACTCGAAAATCGCGATATTTTTGTCAAAAGGGTCCCCCCCTATGAAATTTTTTCTGAAAAACCTGAAAAAAAAGTTGCAAAAATAATTTTTCCTTACTAATTCGAGCACGCTGATTCCAAAAAATCAAACCGCACTTTCGTATCTCTTCGCGTTCGGAAGTTACACTCGAAAATCGCGATATTTTTGTCAAAAGGGTCCCCCCTTATGAAATTTTTTCTGAAAAACATGAAAAAAAAAGTTGCAAAAATTATTTTTCCTTACTAATTCGAGCACGCTGATTCCAAAAAATCAAACCGCACTTTCGTATCTCTTCGCGTTCGGAAGTTACACTCGAAAATCGCGATATTTTTGTCAAAAGGGTCCCCCCTTATGAAATTTTTTCTGAAAAACATGAAAAAAAAAGTTGCAAAAATAATTTTTCCTTACTAATTCGAGCACGCTGATTCCAAAAAATCAAACCGCACTTTCGTATCTCTTCGCGTTCGGAAGTTAGACTCGAAAATCGCGATATTTTTGTCAAAAGGGTCCCCCCTTATGAGATTTTTTCTGAAAAACATGAAAAAAAAAGTTGCAAAAATAATTTTTCCTTACTAATTCGAGCACGCTGATTCCAAAAAATCAAACCGCACTTTCGTATCTCTTCGCGTTCGGAAGTTAGACTCGAAAAACGCGATATTTTTGTCAAAAGGGTCCCCCCTTATGAGATTTTTTCTGAAAAACATGAAAAAAAGTTGCAAAAATAATTTTTCCTTACTAATTTTTCACACATTATACTCTTCGTTTTTTGCAGTTGAACGTTCTGCAGCAGCTAGAAAGCAGCGACTTGGAAAGCGAGTGCAGCGTTTTCGACGTACGAACGGCGACGCGGGACGTGTCCCGAAGGGCCTCGACGAACAACAACACGGAATCCCTGGAGCAGGGAACCCCTGGCACCCCGAAAGCCGTCCGGTCGAACTCGGAAAACACCGAAAAGTGCGAAAAGAAATGCATCACCACCATGTCGGGCAGCTCGATAGCATAATACGTAAAAAAATGATTTTTTTCCTGTTTTTTCTTTATCTCGGATGTATTCGACGAGGGTTAGTGCAATAAAACGCGGAAAGATTTATCGAAATAAAAAAATTAACGGATTTCGATTTTCTCTCCGTGTCACTTATTTTTGCCAGGGAATAGTTTTATTTCAGCAATAAACCTGTGTAAAGTTATTTAAACTGCCAAATAGTCAAAGAAAATTAAATAATTCAAAAAACATTCAACATTCAAAAAATAGTCCGTTCAGAAAATATTTTTGTCATTCACTGTTCCTTTCTGAAAACAGAATAAATTTTACAAGGGTGTACAAGTAGTTTCGAAAATTTTCAAAATTTTAAAAATTAGGAAATTTGTCCCACTATTTTTTTTAAATTTTGGACCATAGTGCGAATTCTGTCTCATGTCGGTCGGCCGGTTTTCTATACTACACTCACAGGCAAAATAATCGATCCACTCAAATTGTCGATGAATTTCAATCGCAAATAACTTTCTTAATTGATTTCGGATTTAAACAAATATTAAAGAATATCATAGATAAATTAATGGAGAATCGCTCACATTTTAAAAATTACTAAAAAATAGACCAACGTTTATAATATTCAGGTTTAAACAAAAAGATGTTTTTTACCATAACTTTAAGACACTCTGTAAATTAAGTAAGTAAGTAAGCAGGGCCGGCTTTAGCTTATTAGAGGCCAGGTGCGGGGCTTGAACTAAAAATTTACTCTTGAAAATTAAGATATGCTACATATCATATGTAGCGCTTAGCGGCAATAAACCACTAAAACATCAAACGAAAAACCAATTGAAGGGGTTAGAGCTGAAACCGCCCAAGTGCATTTTTAAGTCAAAATTTTTTAAGCGTGTTACCGGATAGTAGAAAATTTTTACTTAAAAATGCACTTGGGTGGTTCAGCTTTTCCCATCAATTAATATAGAAATTAACGTTTAAGAAAAAATCACATATAATTTTTCCCTGCTTTAGCTCTTTTCCAACATCCTTCTCTATTGACAATATAGCTAAACCCACTAGTCGTTCTTGGCACATATCTTCTTGATTTAAATATTTTTTTATTAATTTTAATTTTGAAAAACTTTTCCCGGCGTAATAATAATTATTTTAAACGGATACAGGCAACTTCAAATACACATTTAGCAACATTGGACTGAATGATAATAGATGACGATACCTTCTAAAGTTATTATCTCTGGCAATGACCAGATATTATTTTGTCACGCTTTGCTTACAGCTTGCCATGTTGCTAAAATGTACTATAATTTCGTTAAGACGCCTTGATGCGCGCGGGGCCTACAAAACGCGGGGCCGGGTGCAACCGCACCGTTTGCACATGCCTCACGCCGGCACTGTAAGTAAGTTTTAATTATCAAGTCACATCTATTTTTAACAGTTTTGTTTTTGGTTCACCTTGATATATTTATTTTTGTGGAAAATATGGATGTGAATCGAGCTAAATTAAAAACAAAATTGTTAAGAATAGATGTAAGTTGATAATTAAAACTTAATTTAGAACTTAAAGTTATGGTAAAAAACTTCTTTTTGTTTAAACCTGTATATTATAAACGTACATCTATTTTTTAGTAATTATTTAAAATTTGAGCGATTCTCGATTAATTTATCTACAATATTCTTTAATATTTGTTTAAATCCGAAATCAATTAAGAAAGTTATTTGCGATTGAAATTCATCGAAAATTTGCAGGCCCGTTCCTGGGGTGTCTGGCGCCTGCGTGCAGCATTCGTTGGTGCGCCCCTTTTATATTTAAATATAATACGTTAAATATTTGAATTTTAAGCCCTAAAATTTAAAAAAATATATTTTGCGACAAACTGGCAATATATTGCCACATATATGTAATTGAAAATGTAAAAAAAACTGCTTAAATTAAGTATAAAAAATATTTATTTAATTACCAAACAAACAAGTAATATCATAAGGGCATCTATTTTTTCGAAAAAAAATCGAAAAAACACGTTGCTAAGTAATATTTTAACAAGAAGCATGAGTGCTGGTGGCAACAAAAATCCGAGTCGAAGACGAGGATTTTTGCACTTGCACGAATGCATTTTGTTAAAAAATATTACTTAGCATTGTGTTTTAACGATTTGATTTTTTTCACAGGAAAAGTTAGATGCCCGAATGGTATTTGACAAGACTATTTCATGAGTAACAGTTAACAATTAAAATATAAATTGCAATTTTTGGTGACAACAGCTGTCAAGTTTTGCCGCGGGTAAACTCGAAAAAACTGCTGACAGGTGCTGTCATACCGTTTTTTCACCTAGAAACCATTTGTAGTTCAAAATTGCGCGTTTGTGATTGGTGGAAATTAAGACGAGGGAAATAGTCAGTGATAAAAATACTCTAAAGAAAACAAAAAAAAACAATCTAAACAATATAATAACTACAACTGGTTTTAAGTGACGTACTCTTTAAAAATGACTAGTTTTCAAAGTAAAAAAGCAGTCACTAATAACTTTAGTCCACAGCAATTTGTATCCCGGGCATTTAACAGCTTATTATTATGTAAAATTGTCCCCTGAATCCGAAAATTATTATATGGAAAATTTACTAAATCTCGAAAACATTCTACTTTTATAACTTTTGACGACATTTTCGGATTCAGCGGACAATTTTACATAGGAGTTGACTGCTAAATATCCGGGATACAAATTGCTATTGACAATAATTATTAGTCGCTGCTTTTTCGCTATTGCAATTAGACTAATTGAATTAGTCATTTTTGACTAATTCTATTTTAGAGAGTTACTACTGTTAAACTTTGCTACCGTCAACTGCAACTATCAAACAAATACTAAAGATAATATGACCATTTCTCTCCTTTTATTTTGATCCTCATATCAAAACAAATTAAGCAGCCAATATCAAAGCGCCAAAAGGCGCTTTATAGTGACCGAAAAAAAGAGCGCCCGACGCAAAAAAGGCAGAAGCCTTTATCCAATGTATGTTTAAGTATCATATGCAAGAAAGTTTATCGTTACAAAGTACCTACTGATTGACTCTTTGATTTTGCGCCCCCGAAACGTTGCGCCTGCGTGCGTGCACGCACTGCACCCTCGCCAGGAACGGGCCTGAAAATTTGTGTGGATCGATTATTTTGCCTGTGAGTGTATTTTGGGTCGGTTAATTATTTTTTTTTGAAATCCTGGAAAAGTTTTAGATACAAAAATTATTTTATTGGAATTTATCCAAAATCGTTGAACTAATTAATTTTAAAACTTCTGTAAATTTTAAAATTTTTGAAAATTTTGAAAATATGTCCCACCATTTTTTATATTTAAACTACTGTGCGATGGTATTATAAAAAGTTTTCAGTAATGTACAATGAAAAAATATTTTTTGATAGAACTCACGTAAAAATAATTCTATTACAAATTTGGCGAAATTTTTTCGGTATTTAAATAAAAATTGTTATGCTTCTGTATATAGTGCGAGTTTGAGCTTATGTGATTTAAAAAATCGTTGGTGTGATTGTAAAAATTGTTGATTAATGAATGACTTATAATAAAAACGAGGAAAAATTAGGAAATTTTTTGAAAATGGTGTTTGAACAATTGTATATATTAGGTATGTACCAATAATTTTGAAAGCAGAATGAAAAGAGCGCTCGTACCACTTAAGAAAAATTAAAATTACTCCGTTTTGAATGTAGAGAATACAAAAATCATTAAGGGGGGTTTCCGCGACGAACGGTGGAATACCCCCTTAAGTTTTTTTGTTTTTCCACTATTTAAAATGTTATAGATTGCCGGCCATATACAAAAAATGTAGATGTACAAATAGGAAATAATCATAAGGAAAAATCAAATACATTTTAAAATTATAAATCATTTTAACCATCGATCATTTATAAGAGTAAAGTTATAAGAATTTATATAAATTATTTTAAAATCTTAAAAATGTGCAAATATACAGGGTGTAATTTATAAAAAAAGTTTTTTTTGATATAATTTTTTGACACCCTGTATACTTAAAAACTTAATTGCACAATTTTTAATTTTTTCGAATAAATTTGTGTAAACATATCAAAAACTACATATAATCAGCTCAATTCATGCTACTAAAAACTTTTTAATTACATAATATCGCTTTTTCGTATTTCTGCAATATTTTTAACAGAAAAATCGCACCAAATCAATAAAAACCTTAAATATTTACCTCATATACAGGGTGTTTCAAACTGATTCCTAATCCGCTTGACATATTTCAGTGAAACAAAAACTATACACGGTGCTGTTCTGAGAGGTGATTTTTGGACTTTCTGTGAAACCTAATTTTTTTTTATATTCTTGTTTATTAGGTCATAACTAAAATTTTAAGAGCAAAATAAAAAAAATTTGACGGTTTGAATTGTTTTAATTGGCTGTTTATTAAAAATATTATGCACTCTTTCAAGTATCCAATTAAAACTAGCGATTTAATTTAAATATTTAATATTTGCATAACTAAAAAAAAGGTTTTTACAATTTTTTTTTATATATTTTACTGTTTTGTTGCAATAAACGTTCAAACTTTTAATCTAACCTTTGACGTATACATTTATGTTCCCTTAATTAATATATCCTTAAAGGTTGCCATGAAACTTAGATCTATTAAAAATTTATTTGACGTTTGAATTGTCATTTTCAGTATACGTATTCTATAATTTTTGTTTAGTTTTTTAAAGTGTTTTTATAAACAAAAATGAAAAATTGTAGGAACAGTTACGAAGAAAGTCATGAAATTTAACTAAGGACCGGTTTATTCATCTTTAGTAAAGTTTATCGGGCCGATAACTTTCATGTCTTGGCAATATCTAGTATCCAACGAAATTATTCATCAAATAAATCAAAAATGAATAAATCGGCAATAAATAAAATGTGGCACCCTTACAATTATTGTTTAATAAATGTATACTATACATTTAACCTTAAATTAAAACTTTAAACGTGTATTACAACAAAACAGTAAAAGATATAAAAATGTATAGACCTTTTTTTAGGAAATTAACTAATCTTTAATCTGATTTAAAAAGTTATGATAATATTTAAATAAAATCGCAAGTTTTAATTGGAGAATTGAAAGTGTGCATACATATTTTTAATAAACATCCAATTAAAACAAAATTAACCGTCAATTTTTTTTATTTTGCTCTTAAAATTTAAGTTATGACCTAATTAAGAAGAATATAAAAAAATTAGGTTTCACAGAAAGTCCAAAAATCACCTCTCAGAACAGCACCGTGTATAGTTATACTTTAAAGCTATGAAATATCTCAGTTTACGACATTCTGTATACAAAATATCAGAAAAACGGAATAATATACAGGGTTTTTCTATTATCGTATAAAGGGTGCGATTTTTCCTCGACTATGTAT